CTGACTGACATCAGAACCAGCTGGAGGCACTGACTGACATCAGAACCAGCTGCAGGAACTGACTGACATCAGAACCAGCTGCAGGAACTGACTGACATCAGAACCAGCTGCAGGAACTGACTGACATCAGAACCAGCTGCAGGAACTGACTGACATCAGAACCAGCTGCAGGAACTGACTGACATCAGAACCAGCTGCAGGAACTGACTGACATCAGAACCACCAGAAATATACAAAAAGTACTTCAGCAAGTAGTCAGTAGTTCTTGACATTGCATACCACCAGGAAAAAAGCCCTGATTAAAACTAAACCAATTAAAACCAAAGTTATGGTAATGAGCAAGAGAAAAAACAAACAAATAATACCTAGTGAATGATCAGCTGACTGGTCAATTTTCTGTAATATATGCCCATCTTGTATATCTGCTGGGGGTTTTTATGTTAATTTTCAGGAAAATATCTATCTCTCTGCATCGTCCTCAGGCTGCTGACACACACAGAATTATCAAGTGATCTTCACTTCTGACAGATTGGTGCTTTTTGTCTCTATCCTACGTCTGTTTATACGTCTTCATTTTTCTTTCCACTGTCCTTCAGGTTTTCATAGGTCACCCAAGTTTTTTTTTTTTTCAAATTTGCTGCTGAACTGTATCATTTAGCTATATTTAGATCTACTGGCAGATTCTCAGTAAATGTTATGCACATGTGGCCAGAGATATATTTTCTGGTGGATTCTGCATTAATCGTCTCGAATGTACGGCTGGATCCACACCTACTGACTGATCAAGTTATATTTTCTGTAAAATATTAATCTTTTGGCTTTTTTTCCTGTGAATTTAGTGTTATTTGCTGTAGGATGTGAATTTTTTGTAAATTTTCTGTAAAATGAGCCTGGATTTACATCTGAATATTGCTTGCTTGCTTGTTGTACCCCACCAGGACATCACACAAGCGATAAACACCCAGTGACACAAAGTGCGACCATGCAGATGAGAATCACCCGTTGAAAGGTCCAAGAAACCCCTTTCAGCCCCATGGCAACATTTGTGGCCTAGCTATATTCAGGGCACCCGGCAAAAACCAGGCTGGGGCTTCAAATAATGAAAAATTGCTTCCCACATGGGGACAATTCTAATTGATCTGGATATTGCACTAATTTTGTGTAAAAGAAAAGTGTATTGTCATAAAGTTTACTTCATAACATTAGCATGTAAAAATATAGACACATACAACCAATTTCAGTTTCAGTGACGAATACTTACAATTTTTCACTGTCATTGACTCCTTGTGTTCTAAAATTCTATTCATAGGGATAACATCTGTTTGAGATTCTGTCTTCTTCTTCAAAATGTTGCTCTTTGAGAGTGTCTTCTGTAGAAAGAAATTGATTTATTACAGGTTTGTCTACTGGATGACTCAGTCCAAAGATTTAATTTGGTTTGTGAAGGATTACTTTCACTGCACATAGATACCATGTAGTCCAGTTTTTCTTTGCATCACACAAGGAGAATCTCAACACAGTTCACAAACTCTGTAGCACTGTCAAATAGTCACACTTACATAAACCACAGATTATAAATGTTTGTTATTCTTTCTTTACAGGCATTTTTTTTTTTTTTTTCTTCTAATTTTAAATTTATGTCTGGGCAGTGGTTAATTTGGCCTGCACTTTTCCATGATCAACTGCCAAAGGGATCTTCATTCAGTTTGTGCAGTATACTCACAAGTTCTCTGAGTTTTTCATCTTTGACTGAGAAGGCTATAGATCTAATCTACCAACAAAGGCTTAGTGATAGTTTTAGATAACCCCAGATGTGGCAGGATTATTTTTTCCCAGCCAGTTTCATTCTGGGGTTGACATAGCCACATAATATGGCTACATTGGAAAATTTCAGAACTTACAAATAAAATATTTTGAGAAGGTTGGACAAAAAAAGACTCCTACACTCCGCCTCCCCTCCCTCCCTCCCCCTCTTCAATGCTTCACTGCCAAGGCCTAGAACATGTGTGGAACTAACTCCTCACATTACCTCACACACACACAGTTGTCCTGGAAACTGCTTTTATCTAGACAGCTAAAGTGCAATCTAAGGAACTGCAGTGGTTCAGAGGTAGCATGCTTGCCTATAGCCTGGTGGTCATTTCTATAGCCTGGTGGTCATTCTGACCCTCCCCCCCCCCCCTCTTCCCCACTGTGTGGCTTTGCAAAGCTCTGAGATCAATATAGACTTGAAATATTTAACTGAAAAGTCAAACCATTATGTCTATATGGAGCTGAAACACACACAACAGCTACCAATGAACTACTAACATTCATGAACTTGTTCCTGTGTAGAATAGAAGGAATTAAATGGTATGAAAGAATCACTGATGTGGAGCTGAGTTAGCAAAACTAAACAAATTTTAAGGAAAAGGGACAAGGGTGGTGGCAGTGACAGGGCACGCTGAGAAAACTTGATCATGATATAACTAGAATGTTCTAACACTGGAACCCTCAGAGCTAAAGAGAAAAATTCAGACTAAAACACATAAATAATTAGAGACAGATGTGAATATGATTGGGAGGTCTTAGATTGAGCTGCATGACATGGTCAATGACAGAACAACTTGGTGTCAGCTGGTTGTGTTGAGGGCCTATGTTTCACTGGGGGATGAAGCAGAAGACAAAGAAGAAAGAAGAAGAAAATGAAAAAGAACAAGAAGGTTGACCTTACTTTACAGAAATACCAGAAAATGTCCTGGACAACAAAGGCAGCCAACATACACTGACCACATCACCCAACTGAGTTGCCAGTTGGTCAAGCAACAAAAAAAAAAAAGGGCTAGCATTTTTTACCCAATATAATTCATCACAAACAAATATGTCCTTGACCCAGTTACTTAAGATAAGTCACATTTTATGTTTGACCTAGTTACATAAAAAAAGACAACAATTCCTCACCTTCCTCTCCTTGGCCTGGCCAGCCTGGTTGGACATGTCTTTACCCACAGACCTGTATTCGATCAACAGTATCTGGAAATTGCCTGCTTGTGTAAAAGGATTCTTCACTTCCAGTGTAATCTGCTCTAACTCATAACATGGACACTCCACCTTCACTGTGGCCTGCCAAACAATACAGTATTTATTCAGTCTTTCCTCTTCTACACTGATAGGCAAAGGTAACATTTATGGTATTTAAACAATGAAACAAAAATTGTATATATAAACAGGCATTTAAAAACAATTGCTTACACACAAAAATACACTACGAATGTATTATTTAAGTAGATAATATGCACACACAAAAATGTGTTTGCTTAAACATGCATGCATTACTCACATCTACCACCTCTAAACTCAAATGCAAGCAAAAAAAAAAGGTCTTAGCTAAAACTGTTGATCGTTTATGTGTGTGTTATTCTCCACCACACCCGTTGTGCTCCCTAGTCATAGATCAGTGGATCTGGCCCAGTTTGTTCCCTGGCACATTTCACTGTATCTAATCAGATGCATTTCTACAGAATTGTCCCAAACATACACTGCAGCACACAAGTGAATCATTTTGACTTCTTTTTCTTTCTTTGACCTACTGTTTATGCTATAAAGTGTGACAGAGAGTAGTAAGATGTAGTTTTATGTCTTTTGCTAACTGTGTATCTTGTGTTAATGTCATATGGTAGTCTTTCTTTTAGTCCCTCCATACTTATGTTTCCAGGTCAGCCTTATGCCTTGTAGTTGGACTTCTATGTAGTTCATTCTAGCTGCTGGCGATTTTGTTCCATTCTGCCCAAATGACCAAACCATTTGATTCTTTGACGTTATATGAGATCATTCATCGGTACTGTGGCTACAATTGTTCTTAGCTTTCATTGGTGACTCTATCTCTTCTTGTTTTCCTGCTGCATTTCTTATACATCTCATCTCACCTGAAATTGTGCATTTATGTTTTTCTAGGACTGTGCATTGATAGCACAAAGTTGATAGGAATAGTGCATTTATCTAGACTGCTATATATATATATATATATATATATATATATATCTGTGTGTGTGCGTGCGTGCGTGTGTGTGTGTGTGTGTGTGTGTGTGTGTGTGCGTGCGCGCGCGCGCGTGCATGCTGATATGTTGATACCCCAAGAGTGTGGCTTTTTGGGTAATTTATGTATTTAGTTTTCTATTTCTCTGTGCAATCCCCCTCATTTGTGAATACACTGTCTAGGTACTGAAACTCCTTAGCTTGTATGAATGTCTCTCCTTCAAAGTTGATGACATGTTGAACTAGTTTTCTGTCCTTATTTCTGTGTGTATATTTTTTCTGGTATTTTTCATACTGCTTGCAACAGGTGTTGAGGCTGTTTATGTGGTGTTGTATCCTTATCTTTGTATAAAAGGGTAAGATTGTCAGCAAATATCAGCTCATTTTTATCCTCCTGCTGGGAGTTTGCATACAGATAGATAAGAGTGGTGAAAATCATTTCAACTGAAATGCACAAATCCCACATTTAATTTTAAAGCCACGTAAGACTGGAATGTTGAAAAAAGAATATGCATGACTGGTGAATAATACATGACTAACTGAATGCTGGAAATATAAAGAAACATTTATTCAAGGATATGAAAACAAAAACTGTCAACAACAACAATTTAAACAAAATAAGAAAACAAAATATGAAAAATAGAAGCAAGCCATTGAAATAACATGATTAAAATTATATTCTACTGGAGAGTTAAAACTCAAATCTTTCTGACAATTCCCCACTACCCAATAATCTAATAATCAACCAGTTAATCTACCAATCATTCAATTAATCTACCAGTCAACCAATTATTCGATCAACCACACAGTTAATCTACAACCAAGCATTCAGTTAATCTACCAGCCACCCAGTTAACTGACCGCCCACCCAATTAATCCGCCAATGTTTCAGTTAAGTAACTAACTATCTAAATTGATCAAACAACTGTCTGAATAATTAGCCAACCATCTAATTAAATCAACCAAAGAAATAAGTTTAATCATACCTTTGGCTTTATAGTCTCAATTTCTGTAGTCAAATTGAAAATCATTGTATTTCCTATGGCTGATCCTTGCCTCTTTCCTACCAAAGCTAGAACAGCTTCTGCTGGACGAAGGAATCGGCTTCTGAATTCCACAGTAAGCAGCAGAGTTGATTTGGACGGCACAGTTATTACACTTCCTTTGGGTACACTAAAGTCACACGCATCTTGTCCTGCAAGTAGGACATTGTAGACCAGACTTTTGGCACTAGCATTGGAAACTTTCAACCTGTCAGAAATTAAATAAAACTCAACAACTGGAGTCAGGACATAATTACTCATAACACAGTTTCTGTTCAACAAAAGCTGAGAGGCAGGTGCAAGTTGGTAATAAACTCAGAAGTGAGAAGATAGGTAGAAGTATTCATCTTGCTGTGGCTACTTGAGTCTGTATGACAAAAGACATCACTAACATGGAACCGTAGGGGTGAAGTGGATAGCATCACTGCCTACACAAGGTCATGTATTTCAATCACCTCTTTGTGGTATTTTTTTATGAATGGGCTCTCAGTTTGACCCATTCTAAAATTAGCACTAGGATATTATTTGGGAAGTCAAGGCAGTTGGTATGATACTGGTTACATAATCCATCGAGCACCAGAATCTAAGAATATAGGGGTTAGCTCCATTTTTTCCAGGAAACCAGAGTAGCAAAGTGGCTAGCTCACAGCCGGCATGATCTGAACTACAGCATCCAGTGAGTACTGATTGGCTTATATAAAAATAGTATTAGCCCCATTTGCCTAATAAGACTTAAGGCACGAAAACAGATGCTCTAGTTTGCTTCCACTGACACAGAAGGGCTGACTGATTTGTGCTTGGGAAATAATGAGATCTCATCTGACCTTTTTTGTCTAGTTACTCATAAATGGAAGTTTCCAGAGAAATCCCTCTAAATGCATTCTCTGTGAATTATTTTCAGGTCTCTACTTTTTGCCAGGATATTATTTTCTGCCAGGGATTTTCTTGTCCATTTCTTAATATTATTCCTCTGGCACATTGCAAATCCTTTACTTGTTCGGGGACCATTCTAGTGGTGGGTACATGCCCAAACTCCTCCTCAGGGTGTGCCCAATAAATATAAGAAAAAATTTTTTTTCAATTTTTTTTTAATTTGAAAATTGTACTAGAGCTGTGGTCTAACTCTGGCTGCTTAATTCTCAACTGCAACACGATTTCTCACCAAGTATTTTTTTTTGTGTCTTTGTCTGAAGAGGTAAGATGTCCAATCCCTACACAATGTTTAAGTGAGGTATACCATCCTTTGACTTATTTTGTAAACATCCAGATAGTGGATACCACTGAATGAATCAAGCCTGCTCAAGTCAGTGGCGAATGCAGTAACCTTTAATCTATCCCCCCTACCAGTAATTATCAATTAGACGGCTGAGTTTTGTCCACGCCAATATTAGCACACGCACACCACACACACACAATGTGATAACTACCATACAAAAATGTACACACCATAGAAGACCTAAATAATTAGAACAAAAACCAAACTGGCAAATGATACCTGGCGGGCTACAACACTGTGAAGACTGCCAACAAAATCCATGGTGGCTTTGGGCAGATATTGTGGCAGCCGCTCATACAAGTGAACAACAAACAACAGCATGGAGATGGGGTTCGGATCTGTGATATCTATGGCCTGTGATTGTGATGTATTATTATATTTGTGAATACAACAATCTGTGATAAAGGTGAACATTCAAATCAACAACAATTAAAAAAAATAGAGCCAAACATAAACTGTAAAAACTTCAGGACTTCCAGTCTCATCAATTCATTCTATGCTATCAATCGATCAGGTGTCATCACCACAATAAAACCTGCTACAAAAACTCTTCTTTAGTATTCTATAGTCTAACAAACTGTTGTTCATCCATCTCTGTTAGTTATCCTTCCACATGTCTCTCCATTCTAGTTCTAGTTCTACTGTTCTATAGTCTAACAAACTGTTGTTTATCCATCTCTGTTAGTTATCCTTCCACATGTCTCTCCATTCTAGTTCTACTGTTCTATAGTCTGACAAACGGTTGTTCATCCATCTCTGTTAGTTATCCTCCCACATGTCTCTCTGTTCTAGTTCTAGTTCTACTGTTCTATAGTCTGACAAACTGTTGTTCATCCATCTCTTTTACTTATCCTCCCACATGTCTCTTTGTTCTAGCTCTTACTTGCCTGCTTCAGCTTTTCTGTTCAATTATAATTTTATAAATGTATAATGTCCTTGAAATAGGTCAAGAAATTTCTTTTGTCTCTTTATTATTTCTGTTAACTCTCTTGTCATTCTTAGTCTTTTCAGAATCTATGTATATGTATTCCGATCCCCCCTTCCCCCAGTTTTTTTCTTTTCTTTAGGATATAAGAATATATAATTTTGGGAGATACACACCTCCATAGCAGCACTACTTCAACATTTTAATGGCTTCTCCACTGCCTGGATAGCAGTAATGAATATATTGAATAAGTAATCAGTTAGTTACATGTTCTTTATATGATGTTTCAGAACCTGGCCCAGCATTGTGGGGATGGTTGGGGGGGGGGGGGGAACTCTTGCAGTTTTTATATGCAATTTTACATTCAGCAGTTTGACATTGCTTTCTGAATGGCCAATCCTTGATACCACTGTAAAAACCAATGTAAGGCGGTCTGCTACCAAATTTCCTGCAGCTGGGACTGAGCCTGGCACCCTAGTATTACAAAGTACATCTGTAATGACTAAGCCACAAATGCTGACTCTGTCGGTAATGAATATATACGCTGTCTGGACAAACGAAAGAAGCTTTAGTTAAAATGAAAGAGAATGGTTTGCACAACATCACTGTAACTTAGCAGTTAAACAGAGTGGCTTGTCATGAGCACACATGAACACTGACGATGCTGCTGTACCGGCCAGTACGACTGTCATGAGCACACATCAACACTGACGATGCTGCTGTACCGGCCAGTACGACTGTCATGAGCACACATCAACACTGACGATGCTGCTGTACCGGCCAGTACGACTGTCATGAGCACACATCAACACTGACGATGCTGCTGTACCGGCCAGTACGACTGTCATGAGCACACATCAACACTGACGATGCTGCTGTACCGGCCAGTACGACTGTCATGCACACATCAACATGACGATGCTGCTGTACCGGCCAGTACGACTGTCATGAGCACACATCAACACTGACGATGCTGCTGTACCGGCCAGTACGACTGTCATGAGCATACATGAACACTGATGATGCTGCTGTACTGGTCTCTCTGTGTGTGGCTTCATGGGTATCTGTGTGTGTGTCTTTTTGATAATGTGTGAGCGTCTGCGCGTGCGTGTCTGTGTGAGTGTTTGTGCATCTGTGAGTGTATTTGTATGTATGTATGAGTGAGTGTGCCATTATGTGTGTGTGGCTGTGTGTGTATCTGTGTCTGTCTGTGGCTGTGAGTGTCTGAGTGTGGGGCTTTGTGTGTATCTGTGTGTGTCTCTATCGGTGTGCCTTTTATATAATGTCTGCATGTCTCTGTGTCGGTTTAAGCCTCTGCGTGTATGTCTGTGTGTGTCTGTGTGTATGTGTGAGTGTTGTCTATGTCTATGTGTGTGTCTGTGTGTTTCCCTGCCTGCGTGTGTGTATGTGTTTGTGTGTGTGCGCCTGTGACTGCATGTGTGTGTGTGTGTGTGTGTGTATGTGGGTTTAAGTCTGTGTGCGCCGGTGTGTGTGTTTGTATGGGTCTTTTTGTGCGACTATGTGTGTGTATGTATGTGTGTGTGTCTGTGTGAGTTTACCTTTGTGTGCGTTGGTGTGTGTGTGTTTGTATGGGTCTTTTTGTGTGGCTACGTGTGTGTATGTATGTGTTTGTGTGCATATCTGTTTGTGTTTCTATGTGTCTGGGTTGTATGCGTGTGACTGTGTGTATGAGTGTGTGTGTGTATATATGTATGTATGTGTATGTGTGTGTTTGTATGTATGTGGATGTATGTGTGTATTGGGTGCCTATGTGCTTATGTATGTAAGTGAGTGAATGGGTTTGCATGTGTATGTGGGTGTGTGTATGTGTTCGCGCGCAAACGTGCGCACATATTATACCACCCATGCTTTTGCTTTTGACTTGATATTCATAATATGCATATTATTACATGAACATAGCATGATTTATTAATGAGATACAACTGCTGTGTGAAAAATGGGAGTTTGAAAGAGCCGAATGTAAGACAGGCCTGCGTGTATAATTTGTAACCCTTTAAAAAAAGTTTGTTCGTTCGTTCGTTCAGTGCAACTGTCATGAGCACACATGAACACTGATGATGATGCTGTACCGGTCAGTACGACTGTTTATAATTTGGTCAGCATGTGCACTATGCAGTCGTCACATTCAAAATAGCTGAATGAGCAAAACAAAAAGTTTACACATGCAACAGTCTGAATATAATTTTGTCTGAAATTAAAACATAATTTTATATTTATCTCTGATGCATGCTGCTTTCATAACAAAGCAACTCATACTAGCTGAAGAAACTGGCCAGTTGCTTGTAGTCTGATTGGGAGGCACTGCAATTTAGCCAAATCATAGATAAATTATGCCTGTTTGCAAAACATGCTTTGCCTTATAGATGGCAATCTTGTATAAAAACCAGTCGCATTATATAATTGCCGAACTATATATATATATATATATATATATATATATATATATATATATATATATATATATATATATATATATATTATATGTGTAATAAATGTGTTTGGGTGTGTGTGCGTATCTGCGTGTGTGTGCGTGCATGTGTGTGTGTGTGTGTGTGTGAAAATTTTAATTTCCTTTGTTATTACAGGACCCCTGCAAGTTAATAACAATAAGCATGTCTTAAAATGTAGATATTGATTTCAAAAGAAACTTTACATGCAAAATGCAGTAGAAGATCAGAAGAAGAAGATAGGAGATGGTGAAGAATGAACTAATGCTGATTCAGCCTGAACATAAATAAAAGCAGTTCACAAGTGTGTTTAGCTTCAATACTGCAGGCTTGAAGCTACATCAAATGACACCCATCCCACTGATTTTATTACAGAATTATGAAGGATATATCCGCAAAAAAAATAAAACAAAGCAATTGCTAGAAAGCAAACACATGCACCTGGGAATCGTGTTATACTGCTTACAAAATTAAAAAATTAAACTGAAAGGTCACTTTTGTGGTAGACTTTGGACGTCCTGACATGCACTGTTCTGCAAAACTGACTGTTGCATTATAATAATCAGGCACATTTTGTACGACACCAGAGTGGGGCAACTCCTAATTTACCTAGCAACTTCTGGCAGTCATACATCATCCTGCAGCCATGCTTTCTCTCTCCATTTGTCAGCACTGGTCAAGCCTCTTCACTGAGCCATGGCTAAAATGGTCAATGTTACAAACATACCTATTGCTTATTCCTTCTGGAAAGTGGGTCACATGTGTTCACTATAGTCACGACTTGCATTTGAAAAGCTCATTTCAGCAATGTTATTAACAGGCTTTGCCACAGAATGCTTTTTAAAAAAAAACATGCATTATTTGCCTTTCCACTACATATATTTGATGGAGGTACATTCACATAACGCAGATTTGATTTGTTGTCAGTTTAACAAACACTGTTTAAGCATGCAAGTTTTTAAAAAAAAAGTTTATTAGAAATGAACTGAAAACTGAAAGTGGCCTTTCAATTTTTTTTTTAATCAGATATAAGCATTTTGCTGGACCCCAAATTTAAATGTGGAACAAAAGTGCCTTGATGGGACAAGTGAAAGTCATGCTACTGTGATTCACAACAGCACAGCATGGAGATACATTTTTTTAAATGTATTTATTATTTAAAAAAAACTGAAGGTCTTATTTCTCTACTTTGAAACAAATTCAGGTATATAATACAATTGCTATATTGTTATTGATCACTCTGATCTCTTGGGTGATGTGGTCAATATTAAACTGGAAACCTTTACTCCCCAGAATATCTCCCGGTGTGTAGTTTAGATCGCATTAACTTGGTCAGGTAAAATGTTCCTTAAATCCCTGTCTCAACTCATGACCAACAGGTTCCCAGGCCAACATATTAGCCACTGTACCACCTTGTCCTCCCTCACAGTTAAGCACTAAAGAATAATCACTTTCAAGGTTTCTAAAAATAATATTTATTTTATGATAAACAGGATATTTAAAATGAACAACCAGACCAGAACAAGACAACAAGTTTAGTAGAAAATATCCCATTGAAATATCAGCACTCAATACTAGTTCCCTGATCTTCAGAAGCTGAAGAGCTGAAGTAACAGAGGATGTAGTGGACTTGTGTGACAAATAAATACAAGATGGGGTTCTTGGTAAAGAATACCTTAATGATGTTTCAAGATGAACTTGGCAGCAGCAATAGAAAACTTGAGGCCGTACAACAGTAAATACAATAAACAAAGATATACGTAGTAAACTGCATTTTTTGCAGGCAAAGGTACTATGTTGCATGGCCAACTAAGTACACTTGTCCTGTAGCAATGCTCTGTCATCATATGGAGGTGGCAGATTTGATTTCCAGCACAGTAACTATAGTTTTTTTTTTTTTTAATGCTTTCTAGTGTGTCCTTCTACCTTTCTATGAGTGCTGATCAATACATATCTTTTTGTTTATTACATTAAAAAAATCTGGGTCTAGCACTGTAAATTCAACATGCAGAAAAGTCTGGATTGAGGTTTCATTTGACCTTTGACAACCTGAGTATTTAGTACAAGCAGTAAGAAAACATACTCTGCACCAATTCTTAAAACATGGTAGAAATTGATTTGGCATGCATTTGTAAATAAGGATCTTTATGATAAATGACAACCAGGCTTTCAAAGACAATTTCTAGATCATGCATGTTGAACTGAGCGTCCCCTCAAAGTTATAAGGGTCACTTTTGTGTTCTCTTGAAGGCCACATGTGACAACTAATTGAAGTCCTTTAACAAAATTTATTGCAGAATATATTTTTTGCAGACTGCAGGTGTGCTAGCAAAGGGCTGCATGTGACCTGTGGGCAGCATGTTTGACATGCCTGTTCTAAATCATTCTGAAAACAAAAAAGATTTACTAGGACACATTTTATGCCTGGATTAACTCCACTGCTGTAGAGGCTGAAAAATTGGTGTTTAAACATGTATCAATAACATCAAGGATTGCTATCTTATCATTGGTTACTATATACGTAATTTGACATCATTAATCTAAAATAAAAATATAACGATGCAAGTGTGTTTTCATAATAAACTCAAATGAATCTGAGACTTACGTGTATGTCGTAATCTATGCCAACATATCTCATGGCAGACACCAGTTTCAGGGCATTATGGAGGCACTGCTCGGCTGTGGCTGGACTCGTATACATTCCTTGGAGGTGAGTCTTGATCTGTGGCAGCAGCAGCATGTTTTATGTCAGCATGTTTATGTCAGCTCGTTTTATGTCAGCATGTTTTATGTCAGCTCGTTTTATGTCAGCATGTTTTATGTCAGCATCGTTTTATGTCAGCACGTTTTATGTCAGCATGTTTTATGTCAGCATGTTTTATGTCAGCATGTTTTATGTCAGCATGTTTGACGTCAGCCTGTTTTATGGTCTAGTCCATAATGTTATAGACCAGGCAGCACTCGACAAGTGATTTGGTTCATCTTATGTTGGTTGCCTTTATTTCCAGAATATTTCCTTGAACCAGTTTTAAGCTGAATTGACCTGGATATAGAGGTCAAGTGAAAATAACAATAGCTGTTTTTATTTCAGTGGTCTCCAAACTTTTTGAGGTCCCCCCCCCCCCCCCCCCCCCACCCCCTATATGGTGACCCCCACACCCCTCCACAACTTGAATATATGGCAAGATCCCTCACACCCCCACTGAATCCACTGCTAGACCCCCACCCCTTTTGAGTATTTGGCAAGAACATTCTCTCTAACACTGTTCTTGGTCAAATAATAAAATATTTGGGTGGGTGGTTTCTTTGAAATTGCCACATTTTGTTTTGCTACTATTTAATGAGAATCCTGATACTGTGTTCAAAAAAAAAGCACATAATGGCGATAGTGTGATCTTGAAAAAACCATATATTTTATCTTCTGCTTGTCATCCTTAAATGGAGCACTGGTCCTCAACAAACTCAAGCCAAGAGATGCGTAGATTTATTCATGAATTTGGCAGCTCTTGTTTTTTAAATGAGATGAAGTAGCCAATGTTATGCCCATTCCTCCATGGTGGTCTCTGAAGACATGCATGGTTGATTACAGAGCTGCTTTTGTTTACCTTCTGTACTGTCCCTGGTAACATTTGGGTGAATACTTACTAGAAATGGCATATGAGAGCCTAAGAGAGCAGCCAGAACCAGTCCATCCAACAGATCATAGTCAAAATTGACAATCCACCGAGCTGGTGGCACACCACCTGTAGGGAAAGACAGCAATATGGGAGTCATTTATTGTCACTGTCTTTTTGACTGCTTTTAATTAGTACTGCCATGTGACATGATCACACCATGCAACAGTGCGCCATAGTTTTGACCAAATGGAGTTTTGTTGGCAAATTTTAGACACCTAGAATGCACATTAAAGTCATCTAAATAAACTGGCATGACCTTTAATGTAATCTGTGCATAGCTAGACAAACTGGCATGAGAAATAATGTCACACATTAGACAAAATGGTATGAATATTAATGTCATCTGAGCAAATTGGCATGAATATTAATGTCAAACACTAGACAAACTGGCATGTTAATATTAATGTCATCTGAACAAACTGGCATGAATATTAATGTCAAACACTAGACAAACTGGCATGAACAATAATGTCACACATTAGACAAAATGGTATGAATATTAATGTCATCTGAACAAACTTGCATGAATATTAATGTCAAACACTAGACAAACTGGCATGAATATTAATCAGTTGCATAGTACATAATTCATCAGATGAATCCCTTAACTCACCACACTCAAATGTCACCGCCTGTGTTACCAGGTAATCACAATCTCAAAATCATTATTTTTTTTTTAATTTTATTTACATAGAATAAGGAATCACTGGTGGATGGCTGCAGCTTCTGCAATCAAGTTATATAAACTGTTTTTGTGTCTTATTTGTTTACATTTATGATAAGGGAGTATTGCACGGCTACAAGTTTGTGAGAAATATTGAATACCTTTGGGACTTTTTTTCCAGATCAATTCTCTGTTGTATTCATAATGGTAGTTCATCCATGCCAGGAGGATACGCTCGGACACACTGTATATGTTGCTGGACAAGGGGTCAGGGGTCACGACTGGCATAACAATATCTCTGTCGGGGATCGACAAAGCCTTAAGTGTCTTGGGAGTAACTCTGGCCAAGACCAGCACCTGACAGATGGATAGATGTAGCCTAATGAATAAACAGCTTGACAGTTATTATGACTGATATACTAATAGTCATAGAGACAAGCGAGACAGATAGATGGGTGGATGGAATGATGCATGGATTGATGGATAGGTGGGAAGAAGCATGACAGAGGAAGGGAGAAGGAAGGAAATAAATAAAGTAGAATGAGAATGAGAGGAAGAAAAATAAATGGGAGGGGAAAATGAAAAAGATATAAGGGAAATAAATAAAGGGATGGAGAGAGAAAAGTAGGAAGAAGAAGAATGGGGAAAAAAGTCGAAAAAAGAAAGAGGATGTATTATAAGGAGGAAAATGGGAGAAAATATGGAAACGAAAAATAGAAGCAGGGGTTAAAAGGAAAACCAAAAAAAAGGAAGTGAGGAAGAAAGGACCAGGTCTCAGCCAGAGACCAGCTCTCCGCCAGACTCCAGCTCTCAGCCAGACTCCAGCTCTCAGCCAGACACCAGTTCTCAGCCAGACACCAGCTCTCAGCCAGACACCAGCTCTCCGCCAGACTCCAGCTCTCAGCCAGACTCCAGCTCTCAGCCAGACACCAGTTCTCAGCCAGACTCCAGCTCTCAGCCAGACACCAGCTCTCTGTCAGACTCCAGCTCTCAGCCAGACTCCAGCTCTCAGCCAGACACCAGTTTACAGCCAGACTCCAGCTCTCAGCCAGACACCAGTTTACAGCCAGACTCCAGCTCTCCGCCAGACTCCAGCTCTCAGCCAGACTCCAGCTCTCAGCCAGACACCAGTTTACAGCCAGACTCCAGCTCTCAGCCAGACACCAGTTCTCAGCTAGACTCCAGCTCTCAGCCAGATTCCAGCTCTCAGCCTGACCACAGTTCTCAGCCAGACTCCAGTTCTCAGCCCTACCACAGTTCTGAGGACCACCACTAGCAGACATCTCAGGTTGCTTCCCTCTCCCTGGTTCACTTGCCATCTCAAAAAAGCAGTCAAGCAATGAATGATTAACTGCAACCATCATTTTTCTGGTGTCAGTCTCAATTTATTCAGGAGACAGAATATCTTGAAAGTGAAATCAGAAGGAACACGTTTTTTTCTTCTAAAGACAATATCTTTTTTGTAGTTAGGTTTTTTACATAATTTACAAAAGTGTTCCCTTGTTTATGTGCACTGATGAAGGCTTTCTAGCTACAACATCCATTCTGTCTTCTGTGGTTTATTCCTGTAAAGCTGACCAGTTCTGCTTGTTTTCTTTGTCAAATAACTCATTATATTACAGGAAGTTTAAACAGATCTTCTTCAGTCTTTAATTTATTACCTTCAGTATCTGCAGCATGACATCTGTCCACATTCTTTTGGAAAAGGCTTCAAAGACTTCCTCCCCAATATCCTCAGACAGCTGGATCTTCTCAGCCTCCTCCATATTTCCTTGCTGAAGGAGTTCTAGTTTGGCAGTTCGCTGTAGCTGTCTCCAGAGAACAAAATCTCCTGGTGTCATCAGAAACTCTGGAAGGATGGAAGCCACACAAGCTCCTTGACATCTGGACAGAAATGAGCAAACATTTTATATATATATATATATAGTGTATAGTGATGTAATCAAGTCATGATTCATTGTTCGCACATACGGACAGACTGGGAACAGGCTTGGAGAGGTCATGTTTCATAAACTGGATTTAAATATTTCACTGTCAACAGTCGCCAGCCAAGAGAAGCATAAATAATATATTTCAAATTTAACCAAGTAGGCTGAATTTATATTCATCCTTCTAAATAAAACAATCTAATTAAATTTGCTACTGCATGGGGAGGAGGAAGGGAATAGGGGATGCAATGATAGATAATGCATAAATACACCGCTGTATCTTTAATACTAAACTCTTCTAATCTCAGGCCACTGATGGTAACCTCCATGAATCCCACCCACTTGTGTGCTGTATTCTTTGAATTTTTCAATTTGGCCACAGTAACTAATGAAGTCTGGATTCCCCAGTGACAGCTTCCTATGTGTATGTAGAATATTTGCATTGATATTTGATGACTTGTTTAATGCAGAATGAGTCAACAGTGTGAACAAACAAAATACCTCAGGAATGTTAGAAGCGTGCAGTGTTGCCAGTAAATCTGTCTAACTCGATCCACTGGATTGCTTGGCAGGGAGACATTGGCAGGAATTCCTGGCAGAGTTCTTCCTGACAGAAATGTAATCATGTCATAAATGGTTTTGACCAGTCTGTTGTAGTTTCCTTTGCTCTTCACCTTTCCTTTCATCTGATTTGTCTTACTGGTTGCCTCTTCTGCATTCTTAATCACTTCTGCAGCTGTCTTTTTGCTAATGGCTCTGTTTAAAAAAAAAAAAAAAAAAAAGTTAGCAAGTTCATATTTACTGTATGCGACTAGAGCACAAATTAATTCACAAAGAAATTATTCTTTCATGCACAGAAAATAACAGCAATCTTTAATTACTGATGCCATATTAGGAATACAGAGTCGCTAAAAAAAACCAGTCAAACACAAGCAGAAGAAAAACACAGACATCCTACATGATCTGAGCAGCAAGGAGATTTGGCTTATAAACAGAATCTTGTCCCAACAGCTGGGATATTTTGGATCTGGATAAAGTCCCAACAGCTGGGATATTTTGGATCTGGGTAAGGTCCCAACAGCTGGGATATTTTGGATCTGGATAAGGTCCCAACAGCTGGGATATTTTGGATCTGGATAAGGTCCCAACAGCTGGGATATTTTGGATCTGGATAAGGTCCCAAAAGCTGGGATATTTTGAATCTGGATAAGGTCCCAAAAGCTGGGATATTTTGAATCTGGATAAGGTCCAAAAAAGCTGGGATAATTTTGAATCTGGATAAGGTCCCAAAAAGCTGGGATATTTTGGATCTGGATAAGGTAAAAAACACAAAATCCTTGTTTTATCTTGACTTTGTTCGTTTGCTGCGTATGGTAACGCTTGCTTGTTTCCAGTTTATTTTCCAGGTGATAGTTTCTCCTATTTTGTATCTTGTGTATAAGAAGGGGGTCGTAAACTGCCATGATAAGGGCAGTCCGTTGCCTGAGGTGGTGCTGGAACAGGTATGGGTGGGAGTGAATTGGGTGGTAGATCAACATGCCTGGCTGGTTTTGAGCTGTGGGGTTCCTTCGGACCAGTGAGCTGGTTTGTTGGGCTGTCATGGTGGTTTGGGTGAAATTCCATTAGTTGGCTTGTTTCTTGCTGTTTGTGGATTATCGTTCGGATGCAACGTCTCTTGTTTTCTTGTGAGTGGGTAGCTATTTTCTTTTTGCTGTTCCTGATTCTTTCTAGTTGCAGTTGTCGGGTGGCCTCCTTGAGATGTCTAACTTCATTGAACATAACTCAAAAGTTTTTATCCATTCCTTCCCTGATATCTTTCAATTCCTGCATGAGGTTCTTCTCTTTATATTTTGGCTCGATATTTTGGCCCTGTTAACATCAAAATGGCCCCAAGAACAGTGATGGAAGGTGCAGTTTCTGGTTTATTGGCTATGATAGCACACAGAGCTGGAGAAAGAGAGACTTTCAGTTCAACTTTAATACCATTTCGACAGACTAACGTGATGACAATTAAACACAGAGCAGCAGACGGATATTATCATGTGATTTAAAAACCCATCTACAGCCTGACTAAACAGATGATGATGAAGGCCCCAGTTGACTCATTTTTGCATTGTGTGTGTGTGTGCGCGCACGCCCGTGCACATATGTGCATATGTTTGAGAGAGAGAGAGAGAGAGACAGAGAGATAACAAAGTAGTAAAAATCAAAGACAGCACAATTCCTCTACGTACGTTCTCAGCGTTTCTGGGATTACAATTGGATATGGTCCTCCAGGCCAGCCATGGTAGGAGAACCACCTCTGTACAGCTTTCAAAACTTCCATGAAATATGCAGCTTCCTCTGAGTCCTCAGGTGGGAATATGGCTGAGGCAGCACTTCCTGTCTTGTATCTTCCACAATCGGAACATGTTGGTGATTTGTTCTTGGCACCTTCCCTTGCTCCTGGCACACAGGAACCTGACTCTGAAATGGGCATTTGTCTATACAGAAATACAAAATGGCAAAGATAATTCCAATTCACCAACTTCCTCTGGGAGATCAAGTGTAGCTTCATTTCACATACTTCTTTTGGGAGGAGAAGTATTGTTCCTTCAGATATTTCTTAATCTTACAGGTCATCAAAGAACAACAAATGAAGTGGTTTGGACACCTAACAAGAATCCCCTGGTACTATCTGCCACAGCGAGCCACACTAAAACGTAACAACGGGTATAGAGGAAGTGGAAGACCTCGGAAAATATGGAGTGATGGCAATAAGAATAGCCTTACAGAAATTAACATCAGTCTTATTAGTGCTCTTGACAGAGCTCATCAACGAACATTACATCTCCCCCCGACACTTCGATGAGGTACAAGGTGGAAGAGAAGAAGAAGAAGAAGATATTTCAGGTCACAACACAATGAGGCAAGCTGGTCAGATTCCATCCTTGCTATCATTATGTAAAAGACAATTTTCAGAAGTTTGTAACAAAAATGGTTCTGTCCCATTTCATAGGGTGGGGGGATCAACCCTTATTCTGCTTCAATCCTTCTGTCAGAAAACTTATACCAGGAGGCCAGAGGCCTTTATGTAAAACTATCATGCAGTCCATATCTTCCCATTTACCATACAGCTTTGTCTTCACTGAGGTTGGAACAGGCCAGATTGCTTCTTTGTTAGCAGCATACAGTTGACAGTGTTTCCATGGCCATCGTTCTTCTTCTGCCTTTCATCTCCCAGTTAACTCTTTGAGTCCCGGGAGTTTAGCATCACAGGCCCAGGGGTAGTTAAGAAAGTAATAAAATCGGCGCATCATACGTTTATTGGGCTTCTAGGTAGGAACCTATGAACGTATGATGCGTTCCTTGGGACTCAAAGAGTTAAGCATTGACCCTCAGGCAATTCAACTTAAGTAAAGTCCTTGTTCAAGACTGATTGTTTCTAATGTTTTCTACAGGATCAGGTTGCCCGCATGAGACCAGCCCTTCATGGTTGCCTCTTCTGACATGCATGATTGGAGACAGTAAGACTATTCCTGGCTGCCCTGATGTGCTCCAGTAACCCATGAGTACTTCTAATCACAAGAAAAATGTTGTCAGTGCTCGTGATTGAACCCTGACCTCTCTCTTGTCAAGCATGGACACCGACTGTTGTACTATCAAAGCTTTTACTCCCTTATTTTACCACTGTGACATGTAGAGGGAGTTGGTGGGGGGAGCAAGATTGAGAGATGGGGCATGATCTTGAGTCTGAGGAACTTCAGGAACTACATAGTCTAAGATTTAATTTTATTGTTTTTTTTTGTTTTTTTTTAGATACACATAGAAAATAATTTTTAAAATGACAACAAAACAAAAAAGAAACAAAGAAAGTTTACCAGTAACAACCGTGGAGCTCTCATAACTGGATGAGGACGGTTCAAAACTGGAGCTGGTGGCACTAGTACTTCTGCCATTTGTCTGACAGGAAGACATACAAGACACCAGCACTGCTTCTCCTGACCTCACAGATTCCTCATCTTCTTTCTTTCGCTGGGCAGTCCTGCAGCCTTTGGGTAAAGAACCCTTGAGAACAAACAAAAAATGACATCAGATCAAAGTTAGCAGTCATATAGCTGTGATCCTATACTTTTTTTCAAGCATTTAATCATAGTATTCTATTTCAGCACCACAGCTGAAACCGACTAAACTAGGTACTACAAAATGTTACTGGAAGTAAAGGTGGCTGGCATGAGAGTGACTACAATTTCCAGAAAGTTCTGACTGGTCAACACAAATATCGGACTGGCACCATATACTGCGTACACCTCACTGTGTAGACAGGGATCCTTTACTTTGTACTTTTATTTGCAGAAGTAATGTACCCCATATACAAAACACACTTCATTATGTGGATAAGGATATATTACTTTGTACTTTTATATGCGGAAGTAATGCCACCGTTCAGAAATGAGTGAAGATGAAGAGCAAATATATTTGATGCACAATAATCTAACATAGTATTAACTGGACAAATGACAGTAGATACACAACGAAAAAAGCTGACTCAGATCACACATTTTTCTTAGATCTACCCTACACATTTTTACTCAAATCCAGAAAATTGTGGAACAGCAATGGCTCAAATGAATAAATAATTATTATTTAACCTTGTCAATACCAGATGTTGTATCTCTGTGCCAAAAATCACCTAAATTTCTGGAAAATGTGTGTAGGTGCATACAAATTATTATTATAAAATATGTGTAGTACACGAAAATTATTAATATAAAATGTGTGTAGGTGCATGAAAATTAATAACATAAAATTTGTGTAAGTGCACGAAAATAATTATTAGAAATGTGTGTAGGTGCATGAGAATTAATAATATAAAATATGTGTAGGTGCATGAGAATTAATAATATAAAATTTGTGTAGGTGCATGAAAATTAATAATATAAAATGTGTGTAGGTGCATGATAATTATTAATTTAAAATTTGTGTCGGTGCATGAAAATTAATAATATAAAATGTGTGTACGTGCACGAAAATTAATAATATAAAATGTGTGTACGTGCACGAAAATTAATAATATAAAATGTGTGTAGGTGCATGAAAATTAATAATATAAAATTTGTGTAGGTGCATGAAAATTAATAATATAAAATGTGTGTAGGTGAACGCAAATTATTAATATAAAATGTGTGTAGGTGCATGAAAATTAATAATATAAAATGTGTGTAGGTGAACGCAAATTATTAATATAAAATGTGTGTAGGTGCACGAAAATTAATAATATTAAATGTGTGTAGGTGCACGAAAATTAATAATATAAAATGTGTGTAGGTGCATGAAAATGAATAATATAAAATGTGTGTAGGTGTGGGAACATTAATAATAATTCATTTTGACCTCCTTGGAGTAGGAACTCACATGTGTGTCTTCGCTATTTCGTAGACCGAACAATAACAGCCCTGAACGTGCACTTAGATAACAATTGCTAAAATTGCTCTTAAATGACTTTGGTATAGGGCTGAGGATACTGTTTTTATTTTTTTTTTTAATTTCTTTAATATATAGTTATACATTGCATAATCCTGTCTGCCTAATACATCTTCTACCTTCATCTGTTTCTTCTTTTTCTACTGCAGTGGCTATGTTAATACAAACTTCAATATTACTAACAGTTGTAATTCATGAAGGCTTTAAGGTGCATCCACTATGAGCAAAAAGTGTTGAAGTCATAATCTACCTGGTTACTGGAAGGGTTCAATTAAATTATTCCAAGCAAGTACAGTTACGAACATGTCAGCAAGTTGCAATAACCACTCCACGACAATCCATCACACAACAATAATACTTCCTCAAACCTTAGTTGCATATCCTTTATAGAACATTTCTAACTAACCCCAAAATTCTTCCAGCTGTTTGTGGTATTACTGGGCGGTTTTTATATTTGGTGGTTTGTCGTTGCTTCTAAATGGTTTGCCGTTCACAAAATTGATACAAACAATGCAAAGCGGTCTGTGACCAAATTGCCTACAGATCAACTGAACCCTGGTATGTTGAAATTATGAAACTGCATTCTTTTTCTTTGTGTTTAGAAGCTGTAATATAAGGTGGAAAGTTCTGGTTGTTCAACCATTTCTGGATTTGAGTCTTGCTCCAGAACCTGAAGTTTGCTGGTTCCTCATCTCTCAGACAGATGCTCTGACTTCTGAGGAATAATCCTGAATTGGTTGCCTTGTATGACAGGCTTGAAAGGAAGGCAGTGGGTCTATTCTTGTTTCTCCCACAATGGGGCCCCAGAACACAGATGCTGACAACAACCACACACACACACACACACAGACACACACATGCACACATGAGCATGCATGCACACACTTAAACACACACACACACACATACAATCATATTATAAGTAAAAATATTACCTGTTCACAAATAATTTTATAGTCACACTGATGCTGTGCTAAAAATGGATAACAAGTCAGTAGACAGTTATCAGCTGTTGCTGTCACTTGAACTTGGAATCTACAAAACATAACAGATTTGTTGTCAACACAAGTCTGTTTATGAAAATAAACTTGGAGGTAGGTGGCAACTAGGAATCTATAAAACATAACAGTTTTAAAGTCAACACGTGTGTGTTTATGAGAATAAACTTGGAGGTTGGTGGCAACCGGGAGTCTAGAAAACATAACAGTTTTTATGTCAACACATGTCATGTTTATGAGAAAATCTTGGAGGTTGGTGGCAACTGGGAGTCTAGAAAACATAACAGTTTTGTTGTCAACGCAATTCTGTTTATAAGAAAAAAACTTGGAGATTATTTTTTAAACTGCGCAACCTACATGTTATTAGTTTCATGCTCAGGTAAATTCACTCCATGATTCTCATTCTTTGTGATGTGAACCCATGTGGTTGAACTGAGAATAGCTTTTGAAATGTGACTACGTGTGTGTGTAAGCATGTTAACCCTTAAAGGAGTACTAATGTAAAGAGAGCAGAACAATTCACACAGCTGACTGTTTTCTCTCTGTGATATTAACTCTTGTGCTTTATAATATAAGTGAGCAACTGATGTGGATGGAATATTTCTTCCATCAGGAATATTTATTATGTTTAGTATATATTCTGCTCGGTAAATACCATTCCATACCCCATTCAAGAATGTGAAAACATGTTACTATCCCACCCCATGTGTGTGTGTAGTGTAATAATATATGAGGAGTGAAGGCAGTGTGGCCTTTGGTAAGAACTTTCCCAACTCTTGTACAGGGACTATTCAATTGTTCTAGTTTCAGGTGGACGTTCTAACACAGCTGCAGGTGCCCGATTGTCTAGACTGGAATAGAAGGTTCAACCTGCCTGAAGCATCTCCGAGGCAGTAGTTGGGGCAGTAGATGTGTTATTCCCCCCCCCCCCCCCCCCCACCACCACCCAAATGAGAATCCACACAAGGAATACATCACTTCTTATCTTACTTGTTTCGTTTCTCATCAAAGAAGACCACTGGCTGAGAGAATGATATTGGCTTTGCACTTGAAAATGTAACTTTGCACAGAAGAGCACATGGGTCCACCTGAATTGAGGCACCTTCGACAGGCTTGATGACTGCAGAGTGACAAAAATTGATGAGAAATATAGTGTGACATATTGCAAATATTCTATCATTCAGATTATACTGATATTTTGGCCTTGCACTTGGACAATCAGTCAACAGCTGAACACCGGTTCAACATGCAGAAATGTGATTCTACAAAAAAAAATGTTGACACTTTAGAGAACAATAACAAAAGTTGTCTAAATGTTTTGAAAATGGAATGTTGAATTAAGAATCGACCTCACAGAACTTAGGACACCCCCATAAGCTCTGTCCCCATCTTCAAGAGCAAGTGAAGAGTTAAGCAATGCCAATAGTACTAGTAAATGTCTGATTGTATATTTGTCCCGCCTTTCCCCTGAGTGTTGAGCATTAACCAGATCCCCTTGTAACTCCTCGCAGTGCCATTCTCCTCAGACCGTAATGATCTATCTGTGCCTCGGCACTGTTCACTCGCTCCCAAAGGGTCCTCAAAACATCCAGCTTGTCATACATCAATTCACCACCAAGTGGTGCAGAACCAGCCAGTCTATCTGCCTGTTTATTTCCCAACACACGGGCATGACCTGGAGAAAATATCCAAAGGATGCTAACTACCAGGGACCTTTGAAGTGATGCTTGCCACTCTGCACGGAGCATGCCTGTCTCCACCTTTCTCAACATGCTCTGTGAGTCAGTTATAATGATGGCATGTCTATACAGCTGATTCTTAAGTTAGCCGAAGGGAGCTAAATGTTGACGCACGCACGCATGCACGCACGCACACACACACATACATACATACATTACATGCACACCCATACAGCATACATACACATATAGAAACACCACATACCTACATTATATGCACACCATACCAAATATGAAGAGGAAGAGAAAATTTAATGATAGCCTTTTATCGTAGCACAGAAACAGTTACAGGCTGTTAGTGATTTCAAACTGCAAAATGTGAGAAAGCATGATAATGATCCTCCAGGCCACGAGATGATGTTTAAGGTGAAATTGGGCTAATGTCAAAGAAAAGGATTTCCCACTGGCCAAGGATGAGTTAAGGTCAAAGAACCAGATTTGCCACTGCTCAAAGGCTTTGAGCACCTCATTACAGGTACAGTTGAACCACAGACAGGGTATCCAGTCTGATTAATATTATAAACATTATCATGCCTCTCAGCACATGGGAAGTTCTAGTATCTCTTTTGAGCAGTAGACCATGGATATAAAACTATGCTTTACCATCACATTGTGTTGCTATAAAATTAATCTTTACCATAGCTTCCCCTCGCATAAAATTATTCTTTACTCTGACAAACTGTGAATACAAAACTATAAATTACCATCACCACCCATCAGTATAAAACCTATCTTTTACCATCATTGCCCATCAGTATAAAACTATTCTTTACCATCACCACCCATTCAAATGAAACCATATGTTACCATCACCACCCATCAGTATAAAACTATTCTTTACCATAACTAACTGTCAGTATAAAACTTTACTTTACCATCGACACCTGTCGGTATAAAACTACTCTTGACCATCAACACCCATCAGAATAAAACTATTCTTTATCATGGCTAACTGTCAGTATAAAACTATACTTTACCACCAACACCTATCAGTATAAAACTATTCTTTACCATTAATTTGTATCAGTCACCTTTTGAAGAACCAATTGTTAACTTACAATGGATGTGTCAGTAAAGATGCTTTCATCAGGACTTTTAATACCAGCATACATTTTATCTTTTGTGATTGTGGACTGGCCAAGCCTATCATTGTTTCTTTTGTAGACATTTAGCTCTTACCATCATTGTCCAGAAATGTTACAGACAGCGGGGAGATCTTTGACTCATCCTCACATTCAATGTATGGTGTTGAAACAGTCAACCTGGTTGGTCTAGGCAAATACAATCGTAAGTGCAGTTACAGTGATGCTGTGACCGAGTGTAAGAGTTAATGGTCATTCTGAGTGTAAGAGTTAATGGTCATATCTGAGTGTAAGAGTTAATGGTCATATCTGAGTGTAAGAGTTAATGGTCATATCTGAGAGTAAGAGTTAATGGTCATATCTGAGAGTAAGAGTTAATGGTCATATCTGAGTGTAAGTGTTAATGGTCATATCTGAGAGTAAGAGTTAATGGTCATATCTGAGTGTAAGTGTTAATGGTCATATCTGAGTGTAAGAGTTAATGGTCATATCTGAGTGTAAGAGTTAATGGTCATATCTGACTGATGTTTGGAAATGAATTTAAAGGGTAGCCAAAACTAATTAAAGTGCTTAAGCGAGCCATGCTGGTGCTGCTGTTGATAAAATATATAAGTGGATCATCTTTTAACTGTTGATAAAATGTATAAGTGGATCATCTTTTAACTGTTGATAAAATATATAAGTGGATCATCTTTTAACTGTTGATAAAATGTATAAGTGGATCATCTTTGTGCTGTTGATAAAACGTTTAAGTGGATCATCTGTGTGCTGTTGATAAAATGTATAAGTGGGTCATCTTTGTGCTGCTGTTGATAAAATGTATAAGTGGATCATCTTTTAACTGTTGATAAAATGTATAAGTGGATCATCTTTTAACTGTTGATAAAATGTATAAGTGGATCATCTTTGTGCTGTTGATAAAATGTATAAGTGGATCATCTTTGTGCTGTTGATAAAATATATAAGTGGATCATCTTTATGCTGCTGTTGATAAAATGTATAAGTGGATCATCTTTGTGCTGTTGATAAAATATATAAGTGGATCATCTTTGTGGCGCTGTTTATAAAATGTATAAGTGGATCATCTTTGTGCTGTTGATAAAATTTATAAAGTGGATCATCTTTTAACTGTTGATAAAACGTTAAAGTGGATCATCTTTGTGCTGTTGATAAAATGTATAAGTGGATCATCTTTGTGCTGTTGTTGATAAAATGTAATAGTGGGTCATCTTTGTGATGAAGCTGATAAAATGTTTAAGTGGGTCGTCTTTGTGCTGTTGATAAAATGTATAAGTGGGTCGTCTTTGTGCTGTTGTTGATAAAATGTATAAGTGGGTCGTCTTTGTGCTGTTGTTGATAAAATGTATAAGTGGGTGATCTCTGTGCTGTAGTTGATAAAATGTATAAGTGGGTCGTCTTTGTGCTGTTGATAAAATGTATAAATGGGTCATCTTTGTGCTGTAGTTGATAAAATGTATAGGTGGGTCGTCTTTGTGCTGTTGATAAAATGTATAAGTGGATCATCTTTGTGTTGTTGATAAAATGTATAAGTGGGTCATCTTTGTGCTGTTGTTGATAATATGTAAAAGTGGGTCATCTTTGCGTTGTTGATAAAATGTATAAGTGGGTCATCTTTGCTCTGTTGTTGATAAAATGTATAAGTGGGTCATCTTTGTGCTGTAGTTGATAAAATGTATAAGTGGGTCATCTTTGTGCTGTTGTTGATAAAATGTATAAGTGGATCATCTTTGTGTTGTTGCTGAGACACATTTCATTAACGTTGTCAAAAGAAAAGTTTACTGGTCATGGGGCAGGCAAGATGGCCGGACTAAGTGAATAAACTAACAAGCTGATTCTTCTTTAGTTTCTTGCATTTATTTCTTTGATGATTTGAGCAAGGGGTAATTTCTTATGAGGTACCATGTCAGAAATATGCCATATGTCATGGGAATATCACGTTATTGCTGGAGCCTCCCCACACACAAAACATTGGGGGCGGGAGTGCAACCACATATTATTTTCTACACACTGTGGGTCATGAGAGGCTTATGTCTCATTTGATTGCATAACTATAATAATAATACTGACTGGCAAAAAAATAAAAAAATATTTTTTTTAAACAATATGAAACGTGAAAATAAATGCTTAACAAAAGAACATCTATATAGTAGGGATTGGGGGGGGGGGGAGAAAGGGGATGGGGGGGGGGGGCTCTATTGCCTAAATATTATTAGGGGCTCAGCCTCCCTACTCCTCCTTTTCCACACACAAATGAAAAGGAGGGGTGGCTGTTCACAGTGGAGCTCACAGTTTCAGGCAACCATGTTTCAATGTCGGGTCTAGACCCATTTAATGAGCACTAATATCTGCACCTTTACGAAGGCAAAGAACAGCAACACTATATATAACCTGCCATAGATGGTATCAGAGGCTACTAAGGAAGGGTGGTCATGTGCATGGTTATCTCTTGCCATAGAAAACTGTAGCTGCTAACTGTAACCAATCATAAAAAGTCCACTGAAGACTTGGTATAAGTTGGGACTTTGATCCCTTTTCATGTTATCAGAATTTTAGTTGTTTCTTCTGGTTGATTCATGTTTTGACTGGTTGACACCAGTCATCTTTCACTCCATAGATAAAACCAGGGTCAACCATGTTGTAAGGCACAAGCACTCAGTGCTACACTTTCTCAGATTTTCTTCTTCTTCTTTTTCACGTTCTCTTGTACCGTTCTGGTCTTTAGGGGGATATAAGATTCTGCTTCTTGCCGCCTTGACCAAAGACACATCATGTTGTTGTAGTTTCACTGATGCTAGTTTTTCACATCCTCTTGTACCGTTCTGGTCTCTAGGGGGATATAAGATTCTGTGTCTTGCTCTTCTTGCGGCCTTGACCAAAGACACATCATGTTGTTGTAGTTTCACTAATGCTAGTTTTCACATCCTCTTGTACCGTACTGGTCTCTAGGGGGATATAATATTCTGCTTCTTGCCGCCTTGACCAAAGACACATCATGTTGTTGTAGTTTCACTGATGCTAGTTTTCAAGTCCTCTTGTACCGTTCTGCTCTCTGGGGGGATATAAGATTCTGCTTCTTGCTCTTCTTGCGGCCTTGACCAAAGACACATCATGTTGTTGTAGTTTCACTAATGTTAGTTTTCACATCCTCTTGTACCGTACTGGTCTCTAGGGGGATATAATATTCTGCTTCTTGTCGCCTTGACCAAAGACACATCATGTTGTTGTAGTTTCACTGATGCTAGTTTTCAAGTCCTCTTGTACCGTTCTGGTCTCTAGGGGGATATAAGATTCTGCTTCTTGCTCTTCTTGCTGCCTTGACCAAAGACACATCATGTTGTTGTAGTTTCACTAATGCTGGACATGAAAGCCATCCCGGTATAATCTGAAATGTCCTAGCCAATTGGGCTCTGGTGAAGTTGTGACAGGTCTAGTGAGCTCACAATGGATTTATTATCACTACAGAGAATACAGTGAGATTCATCCTCATACCTCTGTATTTAATGTCCAGTTGACACAACACTGTATTATATATCTTTTTGTATTGTCTGAAGAAGAAGGAAAGTTATGGGAAAGGAATAGCTAACAACAGCAACAACAACAAAACAACAACAAAAATCATTTGAAATGATTGAATTCACATTTGACCTACTTCTTGTAATGTAATGCAAACAGTGTGAACTCAGCAGATGTCTCAGTCAGCAGTGGGACGGGTGTTAGCACAATATTGGCAGGTTCAAACCAGATTGTTGGAGCTTTCATTTCTCCAACTAACTCCAAGAACTGAAAAGGTTTATTCCAGTTTGAGTTGATGCCAACAGGGATAACAATCTGGTACTTGCATGCAGTTGCTGAAATTTTGTTAGAAAAATATTTCATTTTTTTTCAGTCAGAAGTAAACTCTTATTGTAGAAATCAAAAAGAGTCCTTTAACATTTGAGTTCTTCTCTTCGTATGATCCATACTCTTTGGCATTGTAATCACACCAGATTTCTATCCCATGTACTGTCAAATAAATCTGTATCCAAAGTTACTTCACCCCATGATGCTTAACTGTCAAAATCTTCTCACTTGGCATCCTTTTGCCTCTCCTCCACTCCACTTTTGTTGACATCATGAAATACTCGTTTTTTGGTTTTTTTCATTTTTGTAAATTGCCCAATGAATATAAATTTAGATAAGAATGTGATATTGAATTGCATGTGGATTGTTCATTTTGTCTTTCCATTTTTGCTTTTCTACTACTAAAGAGTGTTGTGTGATGACTGGACAGAGAGTGAATAAGTTGTATTACACCTCAACTGTATCAGTCTGACAGAGTGTGAATATGTTGTATTACATCTCAACAGTACCAGTGTGACAAAGTGTGAATATGTTGTACTACATACACCTCAACTGTACCAGTCTGACAAAGTGTGAATATGTTGTACTACATACACCTCAACTGTACCAGTCTGACAAAGTGTGAATATGTTGTACTACATACACCTTAACTGTACCAGTCTGACAAAGTGTGAATATGTTGTATTACATCTTAACTGTACCAGTGTGACAAAGTGTGAATATGTTGTATTACACCTCAACTGTACTAGTCTGACAGAGAGTGTATTCACGTCTGAGAGATAGACTAGACTACATGTATTCACCTCTGAGAGATATAGGCCCATTGTGTTCACATCTGAATGATAGATTTGACCCCCATGTTTTCATATCTGACAGATATATTAGACCCCCATGTATTCATATCTGAGAGATAGATTAGACCCCATGTATTCACATCTGAGAGATCAAGTGCTAACCTTCCTAAAGCTCCTACTTCATTTTCACAAGGGGTCTCCGTGGCAAAGAAGTCAAACCATTTGCCTCATGCTCTAAAGATTATGAGTTCATTTCACAGACATGTCATTCAGTTCTTGATTTGAGTGGAAATTGTGCATAAATCTTTTGGCAGGTTGCTAACTGTTCTGTGGAGAGAGACCGAGCCATATGTGATAACACCAAGTGCAATGAAGTCGATCCTCTCTCCTTTAACCTCTAACTTCATTAGCATAAAATTAAATCAACCTACCAGGACAAAAGTTGATATGGACCGTACACTTCTGGCCAGGGTCCAGCTGACTCTCAATGTAATTGTTTCCATCAACAGAAGCAAAATTTGCGTCTTGATCTAGAATCTTAAATATGCCTTTGTTGAGGAGGTCTTCTGCAGCTCTCAAATCAAAGCCCCAAGTCAATCTTTCAGAGCTGACATTGGTAACTGAGAAATCCTGTGCACATAACAATAGATGGATGTTTTTACACACACATACATACACACATACAGACACCCATAGATACACAGGGTTACACATATTCTGACAGACACATACAGGCAGAGACATGTAGACACACAAAGAAAAAGAGATTTGATTGATTTTATTTGATCTGATTCAAGAACCGACATCACAGCACTCTGGGCATTCTCATAAGCGCTCCGTCCCCATCTTGAGCAGCCAGCGAGAGTTCCCATAGTAATGGTGCCAGTAGCCTTCTGATTAAACGTCCATCTTGCCTTTCCTCTGAGCCTCAAGCATCTGCTAGAATCTCTTGTCACTCCCTCCTGCATCAATCTCACCAGACTGGTGATCCATCTGCTCCTCTGAAATGTCCACACTCTCTCATAAGTCACTAACCACGTCTGCCTTATCGTGCACCAGTATTCCACAAAGTTATACAGAGCCAGCCAGTCTATCCCCCTGTTCATTTTCCAATACATCGGCGTTCGTGGTGAAAAAGTCCAGACAATACTCCTCACCCGTGTCTTCCCCAGCGAGGCATGCCACTCTGCATGAAACATGCCTGTCCTGATCTTCCTCAGCATGCTTTCTGAGTCAGTTACAATCACGATGTGTGTGTGTGTATTGTGTTCTCTAACCTGCGGAAAACTGCAGTGACCACCTCCACCTCCATTCTTAAGCTGGATGTTGTGGTATCATATGCTAGGCTCTCCTGCACCAAATGTCGACCATTAACTTTTGCTAAGAAACCCCAAGCACTTATTTTGCCTCTTGACACTGAACCGTCTGTATAAAGAATCAAATCTTCTGAGCGGGCATTATCTTGAATTAATTGCTGAATTTCCACCTCCGTGGCCCCTGCTGGCCAGTCTCTGCATTCCTGGCTCAGTGTGATTATGACCCTACACAAGTCTGACTGTTCAAGTGGCACTTTGACCCACTCCTCTCCTTGCCTAATGTTCTCAAGGATGCAGACCTGTCTGATTGTGTCTTCTGCCTGAGCCATTCATGGCTTCCCTTTTATCAGCTGCTGACCCTTAACTGCACCCAGAGCTTCGTGCAAAGGGTGGTCTGTGTTTGCAGCTACCCTGAGATATGACTTCGCCTGCAGCACTTTGTGCCTACTTGCAAACCAATGATGTATCGCATACACACCACTGGGGTGTCTGGTGCAACCCAGAATGACCTGCATAGCTGCGTTCTGTATTTGCTTTAGTTTGTCCATCTGACACTTTGAGACGGTAAACAGTCCCAGGCCATAATCAACCACTGACAGGATCAGGTACTGATATAGTGTGAAAAGCATTCTCTGCTCTATGTCAATTGCAGCCATAGTCTTAAATGCACTAAGTCCTTTTTGGCATCTCGTCACAACACTCTCCACATGGTCCTTAAAGGACAGGCTCCTGTCAAATGTCATTCCCAGACACTTCAGTTTGCTCTCTCTGTTGACGTTCCAACCATCTATCATGAGACTTGAGACATTAGCTTTAACGAACCTGGTTTCCAGAGAACACCACAAAACAGACGCCTTTTCTGGGTGGACGACAGCCCTCATTTCTGTACACCACTCAGTCACTTTGTCTATTGTAGCTCCCGGGATGTTTGTTCCCTCTCTTCCCCTGCCTATATGCAAGTATACCATCTGCAAAAAGTCAGTATCCTTCTAAATCCTGGTGCTTCTAGGCTTGTAATCTTGCAAGTTAAAGAGCACAGGCGAGATATCGGATCCCTGTGGCAGTCCTGGGGCCAAACTGCATGGTCCTGACTTCCATAAGCCTAATTGGAGAGAAACCCGACGTGAATACAGGACTGCTGCAACCCAGTTGACCAGCCATGGACTGACCTCCTTCTCCTTCAGTGCAGTCATCAAGAGCGAGAGAAAGAGAGGAACACACACACACGCACGCGCACGCATGCATGTACGCACACACACACACACACACATACACACACAAACTGCCATGCTAACTAGCAAAGACTTTTATCCTTCACCTCCAACAGCATGAATCCTTTCTGTGCCATTACAAATGGCTGTCAAAAAAAATTCCGTTCATTTTTCCTCCTCTTTCTGATTATTACAACATTTTCCAAGTTTCCACTTCTCATAATGTCTTTCTGAACTGATGTCTGGGATAATCTGATTTTGTGTTTTATCAAACACTGAGACCACTTATTTTACAGTTAATAGCTTAATGATAGCGTTGTATCTAATCAATATGGTTCAGTATGGGGTTCTGTCATTGGTCACATTTGCTGGTATTAATTACTTTGTGTATTCAATTGATATGGCTCATGTTAGGATTCATTTTTTGGCATGTGCAAGTGTGTTTGAGACCTCTGGAGATCCTAGATGGAGCTAAAGATCTCATGCTTTCTGCATGCTCTCTCTGGGTCAGTAGCAGTTCTGCAGAGAAAGAGAGGTAGAGAGAGTGGGAGGTAGAGAGAGTGGGAGGTAGAGAGAGTGGGAGGTAGAGAGAGTGAGAGGTAGAGAGAGTGGGAGGTACAGAGAGTGGGAGGTAGAGAGCATGAGAGATAGAGAGAGTGGGAGGTAGAGAGAGTGGGAGGTAGAGAGAGTGATAGTTAGAGATAGTGGGAGGTACAGAGAGTGGGAGGTAGAGAGAGTGGGAGGTAGAGAGAGTGAGAGGTAGAGAGAGTGAGAGGTAGAGAGAGTGAGAGGCAGAGAGAGTGGGAGTAAGAGAGAGTGGGAGGTAGAGAGAGTGGGAGGTAGAGAGAGTAGGAGGAAAAAAAGACATAGCCATGTGGGATAAAACTTGATGCTATGAAATGGACTCACTTGCCTTTCAATGCCTTCATTATGGTAAGTGCATAACGACATAACAAATATGTTTCATGGTCACTTAGCCGTCTACTTTTCTAGTAAATTATAACCATTAAAAAAAGGACAATGAGGCACATTGTACCTTTGTGACTCCAGCTTTTAAATGGGCACTCTTTTCTTTGAAGTCAGATGGCAGTATGAACTCTAGCCTGTTGGTCTGAAGCTGTAGAGGCTGGCGCATCGCCGTAGCAATGACGTGTTTGCGAGAGATGACTGCTGTCGGTGAAGTGGATTTGGGGCTAACAACATGCTGCACAGTGCTGTGGCTAGAAATGGATGACTTCACCTGGGGTTCGGCCATTCCGTGATCTTCTAAATTGTTGACAGTCACCAGGAGGATGAAATCATAGGCTGCCACCTAGAAAGACATAAACAAAAAAATGTGAGCCCAACAAAAAAAATGAGATGGTAAGCTGGAGCAATCTGACAGGAGAAGAAGACAAATATTGTGAGAAAGAGTATCGGAGGGGCAGAAGAAGACAAATATTGTGAGTGAGATAGAGCAGTCTGAGTGGCAAAAGAAGACAAAAATTGTGAGATGAAGCAATCTGAGTATCAGAAGAAGACAAATATTGTGACTAGGATGGAGCAATGTGAGTGATAGAAGAAGACAAACATTGTGAGTGAAATAGAGCAATGTGAGTGATAGAAGAAGACAAATATTGTGACTAGGATGGAGCAATGTGAGTGATAGAAGAAGACAAACATTGTGAGTGAGATAGAGCAATGTGAGTGATAGAAGAAGACAAACATTGTGAGTGAAATAGAGCAATGTGAGTGGTAGAAGAAGACAAATATTGTGAGATAGAGCAATGTGAGTGGTAGAAGAAGACAAATATTGTGAGTGAGATAGAGCAATGTGAGTGGTAGAAGAAGACAAATGTTGTGAGTGAGATAGAGCAATGTGAGTGATAGAAGAAGACAAATATTGTGAGTGAGATAGAGCAATGTGAGTGATAGAAGAAGACAAATATTGTGAGTGAAATAGAGCAATGTGAGTGATAGAAGAAAACAAATATTGTGACTAGGATGGAGCAATGTGAGTGATAGAAGAAGACAAATGCTGTGAGTGAGATAGAGCAATGTGAGTGATAGAAGAAGACAAATGTTGTGAGATAGAGCAATGTGAGTGGTAGAAGAAGACAAATGCTGTGAGTGAGATAGAGCAATGTGAGTGGTAGAAGAAGACAAATGCTGTGAGTGAGATAGAGCAATGTGAGTGGTAGAAGAAGACAAATGCTGTGAGTGAGATAGAGCAATGTGAGTGGTAGAAGAAGACAAATGCTGTGAGTGAGATAGAGCAATGTGAGTGGTAGAAGAAGACAAATATTGTGAGATAGAGCAATGTGAGTGGTAGAAGAAGACAAATGATGTGAGTGAGATAGAGCAATGTGAGTGGTAGAAGAAGACAAATGCTGTGAGTGAGATAGAGCAATGTGAGTGGTAGAAGAAGACAAATGCTGTGAGTGAGATAGAGCAATGTGAGTGGTAGAAGAAGACAAATATTGTGAGTGAAATAGAGCAATGTGAGTGGTAGAAGAAGACAAATGCTGTGAGTGAGACGGAGCATCCTTTAGACCCACAAAATTGTGCAGTAAATCGAACAACTGAGACAATTGAAAAATTAAGTGCATAATTTTCAAAATAACAGCTAATACATTGATTGATGTCCCCTCCGTACTGCTACCTATCAGGATAGCAGACCAACAAAGTAAATAGCCCTTCCAGATCCAAACAATTTATAATTATGGAACCCATGACGGCTACATCTACCAGGTGTCACCTGCATTCCTATATTAGAGCAAGGAGCAGCAAATACAAACTTGCACAAAAAACACATTACATTAAATGTTGAAATAAATGGCCAGAATTCTAATGGATTAAACAGCAGATCACATTACATATTCCCATAGACAACAGCAGATCACATGACATATTCCAATGGACAAAGCAGATCACATTACCTATTCCCATGGACAACAGCAGATCACATTACCTATTTCCATGGACAACAGCAGATCACATTACATATTCCCATGGACAACAGCAGATCACATGACATATTCCCATGGACAACAGCAGATCACATTACCTATTCCCATGGACAACAGCAGATCACATGACATATTCCCATGGACAACAGTAAATCACATTACCTATTCCCATGGACAACAGCAGATTGCATTACCTATTCCCATGGACAACAGCAGATCGCATTACCTATTCCCATGGACAACAGCAGATCACATTACATATTCCCATGGACAACAGCATATCACATTACCTATTCCCATGGACAACAGTAAATGACATTACACAATCCTATGGACAACAGCAGATCTCATTACATATTAGCCTTGGACATCAGCAGATCTCATTACATATTCCCATGGACATCAGCAGATCTGATTACATATTCCCATGGAGAACAGCTGATCAAACATAGAGCAAAAGAGTTGACAAAATAGTACCAGGGCCACTGCTCCCCCAACTTAAGATGTTTGTTACCAATGAGCCCTTGAAGTGAGATACCTGTTTTGGAGTAAACGTTATCTCCCCTTGAATAACCTCTTGAGGATCAAGAGTGACAGATGCTTTTCCTGGATTTAACAGTTGAAAATTGAGGTCATCTGGGGAAAATAACATTAATGAACATAATTTATCAAAATAATGTTACAGATTATGAGTGACTTTCAACCCCACCAGGACCGCATAACAAATGATAAACACCCGGTGACACAAAGTGCCACTATTCGGATGAGTATCACCTGGGTACAAGTCCCAGAAACCCTGTTTAACCGGTAGATTTTATTAGGGCCCTCGGTTACACCTGGGGTGGGGCTTTAAAATAACACAAACATGAGTCCCATATCAGGGTGAGGTTTCATTTCTGTAACGGGTTAAGCTTCTCTTACTAGTGCCATCTGGGTTGTGAAGTGTTGGGCTTTAAGTCTCACTCTTAAGCAGTGGCATATTGTGTGACTGGCTGTTCTCATTATTTATCATACATCACATAATTTACTCTCTTATATTTGGTCTTAGCAAACTAACAGTTAGGCTTTCCCAGCGCTAGTTTGCTATGGGTATCAGTCTCACTGAACATCACAGACTAGTGCTTTAAATGGTAGTTATCTGCCCTGTCAAAAAATTCACTTAGGAGTCTTAACCTACAACTTTTATCTAATATTTTTTAGTAATGGTTCTTGTCGCTGACATCTTTTTTCTGCCAGTATGTGTTTTATGAGGCCACGCATGTGTCAGATATTCTGTTGGCCTGATGGACTATGAGTTTTATTGGAGATACATCAGTTAACTGAGTCTGTGTATTCTTGTTTGTACTTGTGCTACTGTAGATTTATCTAATGTGCTGATGAAGGTTCTGCAGCCGCAATGTCCACTTGTCTTCTGTGATACTGTGAAGCTGACTGGTTCTAGTTTTCATTTTGTTTGATATCTTTTCATGATAATAATACAGTCTAGGCTATTGCAAAACGTTGGGTGGTGGGTGGTGTGATCAACATCCAGAATTAGTGGCAGTAACGGACTCAAATCACACATGCCTACCTTGCGTCTGACATCCAGGGAATGTGATGGAAAAGTCTTGATATTTTGTCAGGTCCACTTCAAATCTGCATTTTGAATGTGCCTTAAAAGATGCAGAGACATACAAAACAGACTTAACTGAGAGACATACAAAACAGACTTAACTGAGAGGCATACAAAACAGGCTTAACTGAGAGATGTACAAAACAGATTTAACTGAGATACATACAAAACAGACTTAACTTAGAGACATACAAAACTGACTTAACTGAGAGATATACAAAACAGACTTAAATAGAGATATACAAAACAGACTTAACTGAGAGACATACAAAACAGACTTAACTGCTATTACAGACTGAAAGTCTGCTTAGTTTAGCCACAACAAAACAAAATGTCCATGCATGCTATAGACACTAAAATACATTGAGATATTATTGTAGTTGGTAGATTTGTCAATTTGGAATAAATCAATTAATCAGTCAAGAATTGACATCTCCGCACTTGGGACATTCCCACATGTGCTTCGTCAACTTCCTTAGTAGCCAACAAAGAGTCGACATGCTAAAAGCACCAGTTGCAACCTGATGACAAAAATTGCATCCCTGCCACCCCCCCCCCCCCCCCCCCCCCCGTCAACTGTTCAGTAGCCCTCAGTGTTGAATATCTGTCAGACCATCTTGCTCAACCCCCCCCCCCCCCCCCCCCCCCCCCCCACTGAATTAATCTCTCAACGTATGGAGGCTCTATCTGTCCTGTTGCACTGTCCACTTGATCTCAGAGAGCCTTCACATCGTCAATCTTATCACAAAGTAGCTCATTACTCAGAGGAACCACAGCAGACAGTCTATCAGTCTGCTCATTACTCTGCACACCCCAATATCCGTGACAGAAGTGCTCCTAATCTGAGTCTTATCAAGTGATGCAAGCCATTCTACGCCCAGGATGCCGGTTTCTATTATCCAAAGCAAGCTCTGTGCATCTGTTACAATTACCGTACGTTGAGCTGTGATGCTCTATAGGTTAGTTGCGTATCCTTTACAGGACTTTGCAAAACCAACCCCAACAGCCCCTGGCTGTAGTGTGGTTTTTCTAGGCAAATTTACTTCCAGTAGTTTGCCATTGATTTCTGGACGCTCAGCTTTCTTGATACCACTGAATCCAACGCAAGGCACATGGCCCGCAGCTGGGATCAAACCTGGCATCCCGGCATTATAAAGCGTTCACATCGACTTAGCCACAGAGCCGACGTGATGCTCTATAGCCATCGAAAAACTGCCATTACTGCCTCCACCTCTGTTCTCATTCTGAATGTTATACACAAGGCTCTCTGTTTTTTAAACTGTCCACCGAAATTTGCAATAAAACGCCACCTACTCTCGTTACCTCTAACTACAAATCTACCTGATTTGGAAACAGTAGCCAAGGCAGTGGTGATAGTGATGTGCACCTTGGAATTTCCAACTGTCAGGCAAAATTTACCATGCATCAAACTGACACAGATCTACAGTACTTTAATCTTATCCTGTCTGGTGCCCTTAATCAACCTCAAGCATTATTGTGCTGAGTCTGCATTTGTCCTACTTCTGTCATTACTTCAGGTTTTATGATTATTCCTTTATTTCCACTTATCTCACGTTTCCTCACTATATTTTGCCCATAATACATGTTCTCCCATTATCCCCGGTACACTCTAATGCAATTCAATGTTCTTATCCTATTTTTGTTTTCTTATGGTACACTTTCCTTCACTCTACATGATGCCATTATCATACTTTCTTTTTTAACTGCATAGGTTCCTACTGTTTTTGGCCACTGCTTCTGTTTTAATTAAACAACAAAATAGCTCAGCACCCCTCTCCTTGGAAACATAATCATCATGTGTCATGCCGATAAGCACACGCAGTCATGACTAGCCATCCTACTCTTGCTCTATGCTCTGCCCTTATCTACGAGACTATGTATCTGATCCACTGCTAAACCTTTTAAGCTCTGTTTTATTCCCCAATTACTACACTGTGTAATCATGGAAGTTGGGAGATAATTACATTCAGGTTTCCAAACATAAAAAATTCACAAAGTTTTTTCACAAATTAAAATTCACAACAGGGAGAAAAACAACTTTATTCCACGGCATTTTAGCCAACTGGTTTTCACTCAGTTTTAAGGGGAAAAAAAATAATTAAACTTGTCAGTGAACCCACAGCTTTGACAGTGCAGAGTTGATCCAACAAAACATCCACAACTTTGACAGTGCAGAGTTGATCCAACAAAACATCCACAACTTTGACAGTGCAGAGTTGATCCAACAAAACATCCACAACCTTCACAGTGCAGAGTTGATCCAACAAAACATCCACAACTTTGACAGTGCAGAGCTGATCCAACAAAACACCCACAACCTTGACAGTGCACGGATCATCCAACAAAACATCCACAACTTTGACAGTGCACGGATCATCCAACAAAAAAATAAATCTTCATAAAGGATGTTCTCGCTGTGTGGATTCTGAGGACCCCTTTTTTTTAGGGAAAAAAGAAATAGACCTACTGCTTCCCTAATAAGCATGTCACAAAAGGCAAATAATAAGGGGCCTTTAGTTTGAAGTCTGAGTGCATCTGCATGAACCAACAGTTTGCACATAAATAAGCCAGATCCATAAACAGATGTGCATGCAAAACTCAACTCTTGAACAAGACCAAAGTCTAGAAGTGGAGGAACGGACCAGAACTTTCCATTGAAGTTTACAGCCGGTGAAGGCCAAGAAGAAGAAGAAGAAGACAATGTTGTCTTTTTACTTAGGCATTCTTTAATCATACATTTCCTCTCCTACTAGAAGGGTTCACTACCACTTTTCAGGCCAAGCTACTTGCTATAAGCTTACTGAAGAGAAGAAGAAGAAGAAGTTACCAGTTAAAGATACCAGTTTTCTCTCACCGAACAAAAGGGACATTACCTTGTTTTCTAGGTCAAATGGTATCGTTGCAGACGACCCACAGTACACTCCACCAAAATTGAAAGATGGCTGACAGAAATTTACAAATAGAATTTTAAAACAACATTTCTCAATTATATTTTAAGCACACTTTCCTCTCATCCTCCCCACCCCCCCCCCTCCCCCCTTTTTCATTTCTCCTCTCCATTGCCCAAAGGGCTCCTTCTAGATTAAAGAAGCATTCATTTTCGAATCTTGCAGCCTAATTAATTTTCCTCAGTGAGTTTTTCCTAGAGGTTGATCACTTTTTAATGACATTTTGTCAGTGTCTTCATCTTACAAATATATGCAAATCAAAGAAACTATTTTAAAAAATAACTATATGATTTATTTATTTGTTTACAAATATAAAAACTAACTAAGCTTATTATCAGATTCAATTGCATTAAAAGATGTCTTTTGTCAATCAAAAACTGTTTTAAAGATTTCTAAATTATATTTCTAGCATGGATCTGTAATGTCCATCCAATTTTTTTTAACATAAAAAAAAAAAAAACTTAATATACAACATAATATACTTTAACCTCCCTGTGTGCATTGTGGGGTCTCGCTGTGAGTGAGCAAGTATAGACCCACTGTCCTGTAACACTCATGACATAAAAGTTAGCCAATTAGGGATGCTTCCTTTACAGTCATAATGCATCTGCCTGAGAGGCAAGGAACTAACAGTTTACATACAAATAAGCCAGGTTTGTACAATGAATGTACCCACAAAACTCAGGTTCTGGAACAAGACTAAAGCCCATAAGTGGATAAACAACCAGAGTTTTCCACCAGCGTTTACAGCTTGTGAATGTGAAGGAGTAAAAAAGATGAAGAATACTTTAACAGTTATAAACCATTCAATACAACCACACGTCGATTATAGATGTTCTCATTGTTAATTTTTGACAAATAGCTCTGGTTTAAATGTAGAACCATACACAAATAAAATAATATCTGAATAGCACAGGAAAAGTATGTGCAAATAAGTATTGTTGAACTGCTTTCAGACTAAAAACAATGATGTGAAAACTCACCACCCCAATGTTTACATTGGGAGATTCAACACTTCCAGCGACTCTCAGCTCCAGAGTTTTTCCCCCTCTAATGGCCACCAGAATTTTAGTATCAAACTTCATTATAGAATCCGGAGTCAAGGCCACATGAATTTCAGTGCTGCCACCTACTGGTACAACGCCGCTGATAGGGCTGACAATAAGATTTGGCAGCGGGTTCGGATCAATGACCTGATAGGGGAAACAGAAAAAATATTATGTTCAAAAGTTTGAGAAGTTGCCTGGATGCTGCAGGGACGGAGATGTGATGGAGTCAAGGTGTGAAAATACAATGAGTAAACTGATACAAAAATAAAGAAGAATAAGTCGGCTTTACAAGAACATAACCATGAGTCACAATATTGACTTTACAGCTAAAAAACCTTCCTTAGCACACAGAACAAGAGAACACTGATACAAATGGGTTCTAGTGCCCGTTCAAGGGTGGAGGAGTGGAATAGACTTACTGACTTATGACAAGCATATTGTAACAATGAATAGTTAAAAGTTTTCTAAATCAGATGTGATGTGCATGGCCAAAAGGTGCAGAATATCACTACCTAGCTTTAAACAACAACATAACAAGAGGGTTGACACAGAAGAGGGTTAACACAGAAGAAGTGGAAGAAGAAAGAAGGAAAAGGAGGAGAAGAAGAAGGAGGAGAAAAAAGAGGAGACGGAGGAGAAGATGGAGAAGAAGAAGAAGGAAAAGAAAAAAAAAGGAGAAAGAGAAGAAGGTGGAGAAGAAGAAGGTGGAGAAGAAGAAGTACTATATAAGTACTTTGCAGGTACTTCACTTACATAAAAGTATCCATGATGGCTGCCACTGTTGTGGAGTCGACTGCTGATTACTGTAGTCAGGTTCACTGGGGCTGTCCCAAAATTGATTCTCTGGTCTAAGAAGAAGATGTTGGTATTTGCCACCTGTTGCAACAATAAACATGGTTTCCCTCACAACATAAAGAGCACGCTGTAATTAGTTATTAAAAGGCTCTTAAAACACCAGTTGCTTTAGGCATATAAGGCTAGACTCATATTTTTCTAGACCAATCAGCAATCGATTGGTTATGTTGCTAATATCCCGCCAGCGGCCATGATTGGTTTTGTTGCTAACATCACACCAGCGGCCATTTCTTCCCAGGACTTCAACTGGTACTCATTTAAGGCTGGGTTGACCTGCGAGCCAAGGTCACATTTGAAAAAATATCAGCACTATGCAGATTTGAATCCACGTCCTTGACCATGACAGGATGTGATGACCTTGCTTTGCACAGTAGCTCACAGTCATAACAAGCCAGGCAAGAAGCCTATGAAAGATACGTGCTACACAAAATACACAAGGCTAAAGAAACAAACAATAAAAGACTGAAGGTCAGCTATTGGTCAGCTGAGAAGCAGAAGTCTAAGAAGACATTAAAGAAGGCATTAAAACAACCATTTTACACAGGTCACATACAAATAGTCCTAACAGTTCCATTTGTGTATTAAAACAATGTTAAATTCCATACAACACCAGGACCGCAATCAGTAACCACGAATTTTGCATGGAATTAAGTGGGTTACATCTCTTTGAACCTAAACAACAAAATTTCCACTGTGACTCATTCTTGATCCTGTGACCCAGTTGCTTGGTTGCCACTATGATTAATGCAAAATTCTGACATCATCATTTTTTTAAAAAAGAAAATTTTTTCACGAGTAAACTTGCCTAAATGTTATTTTAGCCAATGTTATCATTTCTGCTGCTCCTAAACGTTTGCGCAGGCGCAAAGTAATGATAATGCTGTTAGCTAAGCTTTTTGGAATAGGCCGCAATAATAATGTCAGTAAATGACAGGGGTATTGCATAAACCAGAAGTGCCAGTTTTGGAGGACAAAAGGGCTAATCTTCTTCTTCTTCTTTCGTTCACATGAAATAAATTATCTATATCTGCAATGCTGTCTTTAGTATGAATTTCACTGTCTTTTGTTTTTCACTAAGTGGCCCGTAAAGTTTGACTTCCACAAGTGTCTCTTTTGGCCAGAAGTTTTGCCTGGAAGCGTTGAATCTGGGACAGTTTTGGAAGATGTGATCTGTTGTCTCAGGTGCCAGTCCACAGGTACACATGGCTGATTGGCCAATCTTAAATTTGTTGTTCATGTGGCAGCAAGGTATATTGTGCCCTGTTCTAAGGTGAAGGATAATGACTTGCTCTGGTCTGTCCATAATATGGTAATCGTCTTGTGCCAGTTTCGGTGGCATTCTGATTGATTCGATCATTCTCTTCTTCTGTCGATAAGAGACTGGTATGTCGGGTTGCTCTTCAGTTGAAAAGGGTTAATTTATTTGCTACTGCTGTGCATTAGGTTCTTCTTGCTGTTGAACCTCTACATTAGTATTAACATTTTTCTTCTAACTTTTATTGGAAAGTCTCCACTGTTGAAAGTTGTGAAGCCAGGTTTTCAAAGTTGTGACATTTTCAGTTTCTTCATCGTTGATTTTAATTTTTAATTTACTTTAGTTTTATCTGTAATTATTATTATTTTTTTCCTATAGTTCATAAAAACCTGAAGTTTGATCTTAAGCATATCTCTTCACAGACAAAATTAACTCTTCTTATTCCTTTACATACAATATCCAAATACACAGAAACAAAACCATTTATCTCAGGTTACCTCAGCTGTGCAGTAAAGTTTGCGAGATTCGCCTCCGCTGATGAACAGTGTAAATGAGCCCTCCTCTGGGGCCATATATGAAGCATGCCACACAACTTCACAATCTAGGTCTGTATTGGCATCAACCACACCTACATTTGGTACAAAAACATGACGATAGATAGGTGAAATGATAATTGATAATGTTTATCAGTCTTTCCCTCATGGTATCTAATGCTGCTGTGTCATCTATTTCTTCTCCTACCTTTGGCTTGGTCTCTCTAATACTGGCTAAGAAGATTGCAGAGTAAGAACACTGTAACTTCAACACACAGGTTCAAGTGGTCATCATAATCATTTAGCAGGTTTTGCAGAAATTCAATACCATCACAGATAGCCAAAAAAGCCCTCCGTCCCCTCCCCTAAAATTGCATGCCTATGGTGTCATTTCATGCATATGGTGTCATTTCATGTCTGAGGTGTCTTCAATAGCCATGTCCGCCTCCATATAGTTAACTCCTGTCTTTTCTTACAGGAACAATGCATTATTTCTCTCTCTAAACTGCTGTGGTGTTTAATATGGCTGAAGTTTATCAGCTTCCTTGACTCCATGCTTATGCAGGGAGAGAGAATGCAGTTCTATCTAACTTCCCTTAGAATCTAAAACAGGTTTTATCAGCTACTCTAACAGCACTAAACAGGTTTTATCAGCTACTCTAACAGCACTAAACAGGTTTTATCACCTACTCTAACAGCACTAAACAGGTTTTATCAGCTACTCTAACAGCACTAAAACAGGTTTTATCAGCTACTCTAACAGCACTAAAACAGGTTTTATCAGCTACTCTGACAGCACTAAAACAGGTTTTATCAGCTACTCTGACAGCACTAAAACAGGTTTTATCAGCTACTCTGACAGCACTAAAACAGGTTTTATCAGCTACTCTAACAGCACTAAAACAGGTTTTATCAGCTACTCTAACAGCACTAAAACAGGTTTTATCAGCTACTCTAACAGCACTAAAACAGGTTTTATCAGCTACTCTAACAGCACTAAAACAGGTTTTATCAGCTACTCTAACAGCACTAAAACAGGTTTTATCAGCTACTCTAACAGCACTAAAACAGGTTTTATCAGCTACTCTAACAGCACTAAAACAGGTTTTATCAGCTACTCTAACAGCACTAAAACAGGTTTTATCAGCTACTCTAACAGCACTAAAAACAGGTTTTATCAGCTACTCTAACAGCACTAAAACAGGTTTTATCAGCTACTCTAACAGCACTAAAACAGGTTTTATCAGCTACTCTAACAGCACTAAAACAGGTTTTATCAGCTACTCTGACAGCACTAAAACAGGTTTTATCAGCTACTCTGACAGCACTAAAACAGGTTTTATCAGCTACTCTAACAGCACTAAAACAGGTTTTATCAGCTACTCTAACAGCACTAAAACAGGTTTTATCAGCTACTCTAACAGCACTAAAACAGGTTTTATCAGCTACTCTAACAGCACTAAAACAGGTTTTATCAGCTACTCTAACAGCACTAAAACAGGTTTTATCAGCTACTCTAACAGCACTAAAACAGGTTTTATCAGCTACTCTAACAGCACTAAAACAGGTTTTATCAGCTACTCTAACAGCACTAAAACAGGTTTTCTCAGCTACTCTAACAGCACTAAAACAGGTTTTATCAGCTACTCTAACAGCACTAAAACAGGTTTTATCAGCTACTCTAACAGCACTAAACAGGTTTTATCAGCTACTCTAACAGCACTAAAACAGGTTTTATCAGCTACTCTAACAGCACTAAACAGGTTTTATCAGCTACTCTAACAGCACTAAAACAGGTTTTATCAGCTACTCTAACAGCACTAAACAGGTTTTATCAGCTACTCTAACAGCACTAAACAGGTTTTATCAGCTACTCTAACAGCACTAAACAGGTTTTATCAGCTACTCTAACAGCACTAAAACAGGTTTTATCAGCTACTCTAACAGCACTAAACAGGTTTTATCAGCTACTCTAACAGCACTAAACAGGTTTTATCAGCTACTCTAACAGCACTAAACAGGTTTTATCAGCTACTCTAACAGCACTAAACAGGTTTTATCAGCTACTCTAACAGCACTAAACAGGTTTTATCAGCTACTCTAACAGCACTAAACAGGTTTTATCAGCTACTCTAACAGCACTAAACAGGTTTTATCAGCTACTCTAACAGCACTAAACAGGTTTTATCAGCTACTCTAACAGCACTAAAAGAATTAAGTTAATTAGGGCAAGTAGAGAAGCACATCAGAACAGGAAATTGTCATTTTGTTTTTTTTTTTTTTTTTTTTTTTTTTTTTGCTTTTTGTTTAAAGAAGCAGGTCTGGGTACGGACACTCTTTCAGGATGCCATTTTTTTCTGTGGTTTGGACAGCATTAATTTTGAGCAGAATTTTTTTTTTACTGCAACATGACAAAGCTAAAATCTTCCTTAAAAAAATATTGGCTGTATAGAGACGCATAATATATCAAATTGAAGAGACATGCATTCAGAATAAATCTAAACTTATTAAGTGTCCGTATTACAAAAATTATTTATTAAATTACACAACATTTAGGATGTTTGACGTATATTATATTAGTGACATCTGGAGTAAGACAGGGGTGTGTCTTATCACCACTGCTGTTTATCACCTACATCGACAGTATATGCAAGAATGCCAAGCCCATGAATGAAGATCTTAGTAAGATCAACGAATTACTCTTTGCAGATGACCAGGCCTTGATAGCAGATACAGCCATGAAATTGCAACAACATCTAACATCCATGAATGAAGAATGTAAAACAAATAATATGAGAATCAACACTGAAAAGACAGAAGTAATGTCAATAGGAAAAAAAGAAGACAGATCTAAACATAGCAATAGAATACAAAAGCATTAAACAGGCATCTGAGTTTAAATATCTGGGAACTACATTTACCGAAGATGGGAAATTGGATAAAGAAATTGACATTAGATGCAGTAAAGCAAACCAAGTATTGGGACAGCTAGCCCCCCTCTTACAGCATAAGACAATCCCAATCAGCACAAAGAGACATCTTATTCAAAGCATATTTATTCCAACTCTGTGCTACCAATGCCAGACATGGTCACTCACAACAAACCATAAAAGAAAATTAGTAACCACGGAAATGAGATGTCTGAGAAGGGCTGTAGGAGTGACCATAAGAGATAAGAACAGGAATGAGATCATAAGAGAACATGTCGGCACAGAACCAATTCTGGATTACATACAAAGACAGCAAGTGAAATGGTTTGCCCACTTAGAGAGAATGCCTTGTGACACCATACCATACAAAGCATACATGGAAAGAGAAGAAGGACGTAGAGCCCGGGGTAGACCAAGAACAAGATGGAAGGATAACATCAGAGAAACTCTACAACAGCATGATGTGCCTATGGTCGAGGCAGCCAGAAGAGCTAGAAACAGAACCTTATATCTTCCTCGACACCCACAGCGGTAAAAAGGAGGAAGAAGAAGAAGAAGAAGAAGACGTATATTAAGATTATTTACACAAAAATGTTGTGCTTACCTTACTTTTTTTTGGTTCAACAACACTGCCATCCAATTCTTAAAAAATGCATGCCATTTCTGTTCAATCATGTGTCAGCTACTCTTTATTTGAAACATTTAATTTAAATACTTTGGATGTTATGATAATTTTTGTATGGCATGTCAGATTTCACAACTGAAATCGGGAAAACAGCTGATTGAAACAGAGATGATCCAACATTAATATTGTATTCAACATCATCCTAACCTACATTATTGCCATTATTGTCACTTGCATTATCAGTCATAATATCAAGACTACTGTCACTATCTGGCTGAGATCTATCAACGACAGAGCAGTATGAACAGTTCTAGACCTTTGAATTTATTATTTGGTCTGGAAAAATTACATAAAAATTGTATCACACCTAATCACTTAAAAACAAATCATAAAGTAATCTAAACATGATGCCAAGCTTTGAAAATGAAAGGATTTTGTTTTGCTAATTCTAGTTTTTGAAAGCACGTTCATACAATTTCATTTTCACAGCAAACGAAACAAAATTAAAGTGTGAACAGTCTGAATGGGATGGATTCAAAAGCCACTAAAGTGGTGAATAGTCAGTAAATAGTCAAAGGCATATGTAACCAGGGGTAGACAATGCTAGGCAGACTACCAGAATGGCGGAGAATACACACTCTTCCAAATAATACAATCAGAGTGGCAACGCAATAAAATCAGAGTGGCAGAGATTACAATCAGAGTGGCAGAGGTTACAGTCAGAGTAGCAGAAAATACAGTCAGTGAAGTAGAGAATACAATCAGCAGTTATACTTATTAAAAACAAAAAAGGCAGGTATTTATGGATAAACATGCCTGTGCCATCTGGCATGGCACATGACGACGTGACTAACCTGATGCCGGCCTGATGGAGAAAGCTGTTCCTTTCTCTCCCAAATCTGGCGACCAGGTGAACTCAGCTTGGTAATTGAGTTTGTTCTGGAGGGTAATGACCCCACGGAAACCTGCACAGCAATTATGTTTCCTCAAAATATTTAGTTCAGAATGCGGAGGATAATGACTCCAAAAAAATCTGCATAGAAACTATTGAACTAAACAATTCAAGAGATTTAGTTCAGATTGTCACATTTATTTTTACATGTTCAATCCTACGGAACACATGATGTGTCAGAAACTTTCCCAGTAATCTCAGCCATTGTATTATGTGTTATTGATTTTGTCATAATGGTCATATGTACTAAAGAAATCTTGTTTCTGGCTACTTGAATTGTAAATTATTTGAAATTAATCTATTTTAAAAAATATTTTTTTGTATGTGGTTATTTTTTTCTTTGAGCATCTGCTGATAAGCCTTCTAAGCCTGAAGTGCTGACATGTCATTCCACAGTAAGTCAGAATATTATCATGCAATGTTTATGGTAGTTTCCCTTTACCTTTCTTGTTAGACATTTACATAAGAATAGATTCTCTAGTGACCCATCCAAAAACAAACAAAAAGCAAAGAGTAAAAATTATGTGACCTACTATGCAAGTTAGAGGCAGCTTTTAAGGCTTAGCATGAAAGTGTAGCCATACTATTTATAATACAAATTTTTAAAAAGGCACTAGGTTTTCTCTCATATAGCTCAGTCTCTCAATGCAGAGTAATTGGATAACCACCAAGAGAGTCACAAACAGAATGGACCACCAAGAGAGTCACAAACAGCATGGACCACCAAGAGAGTCACAAACAGCATGGACCACCAAGAGAGTCACAAACAGAATGGACCACCAAGAGAGTCACAAACAGCAAGGACCACCAAGAGAGTCACAAACAGCATGGACCACCAAGAGAGTCACAAACAGCATGGACCACCAAGAGAGTCACAAACAGAATGGACCACCAAGAGAGTCACAAACAGCATGGACCACCAAGAGAGTCACAAACAGCATGGACCACCAAGAGAGTCACAAACAGCTTGGACCACTAAGAGAGTCAATAACAACATGGACCACCAAGAGAGTCACAAACAGAATGGACCACCAAGAGAGTCACAAACAGCTTGGACCACTAAGAGAGTCAATAACAACATGGACCACCAAGAGAGTCACAAACAGCTTGGACCACTAAGAGAGTCAATAACAACATGGACCACCAAGAGAGTCACAAACAGAATGGACCACCAAGAGAGTCACAAACAGAAAGGACCACCAAGAGAGTCACAAACAGAATGGACCACCAAGAGAGTCACAAACAGAATGGACCACCAAGAGAGTCACAAACAGCTTGGACCACCAAGAGAGTCAATAACAGCATGGACCACTAAGTTAGTCACAAACAGCATGAAACTTTAAAACTTCAGAGACAATTCCTAGAGATCTCTGAAAAATCCATATTTCTTTAGCAAGAAGCCCACACCAAACCCACAGCCTTCAGGGTGCAAGGCAGCTGGCTTAACCCCTTCACCACTGAGATGCAAATGTCACCATTACTTATAATTATATAGCCAGACTGTTTCAACACACAGCAACTAACACAAACACTGAACTCAAGCACAATAAATAATTATATTAATTATTTACAGCCTGACTGTTTCACCATAGCAAATGGCATAAATATTAAGCTCGAGCTTAAAAATTAATTACATATAACCAGACTGTTTCAACACAGGAACTGACACAAACTTTGAATTCAAATACAATAAATAAATATATTAATTACAGCCCACCTGCTTCTGCTGGCATTCCAGGGGAAGGTTTGAGGCAAATTTTTCCTGCAGAAAGTTCTAGAGCTACAGGCACCACCTCGGCCAGCACAATGATGTAATGTTTGTAGAACCCATTAATAGTATACACAACAGATCTGTCGACAGACAACAGCAGGAAATGATGCCTTGCTTACTGAAGTTGTATTAAGGGAATTAATCACAGGAAGCACATCAGTGTCATTAATTTTCTGGAGTAAGAGCCCCTGGATCTGTCTGTTAGCAAGACCCAGAAGGGACACACGTGCGCACCCCCCCCCCCCCCCCCCCCCCCCCCCACCCCCCCCCTCCCCTCCCCAATTTAACAATTTAAGGACCAAAACAATATTTAACATCAAACAAAATAGTGGAAGTAATCAATAAACATGTGGCAGAGAATTGGCTGGGTTACATCTCTCTGAGCTTTACAACTTTTTTTTAGAATGATACACTTCTTTACCCCTTATCCGGGCTGCCACTGTAATGGGAAATTGTAGTGTTCCAGTTTCTATTTTTTAATACAATCAGGTGCCCTCTCCACAGTAAAGGTTGGCTGAAATGGATCTCCAGCACAATCTGACTCTTGTACACTCTCTCAGACTGCTGCCTGTCCATTTCTTGATGGTGTCCTCCCACTTATATCGTTGCCTACCTCTTGCTCTCTTGCCTTCAACATTTTCCTCCAGTATGGTTTTCAGAAGTGTGTAGCCTTTCCTAAACCTCTGTTTTGGACTGTTTTTGCTTCCATGAAATACGACTTATTCTTCTGTACCTTCAGTGTAACATGCCTGGATCTGAACGGGTTTCACTGACAACCCTACAGGACTGAATGAGCAAAAATACAAAGTGGGATAGACTAGGATCAAGCAACAACTGGATCAATAATCAGAAGGTTATGACAAGGCATATATTTGAACAGTAAGAAGTAAAAATGTGATTTTCCAATATTCTTCAACAAAAACATCTCTACTGCCTGTATTTTCCCTCATTATTTCATTATTGATTACTCAGCATGCTAAATGTGCAACAGATGAAGTCTGGACATATTGCCTTCAATTATTAATTTCTGCTCCTTCATCTTCTTTGATTCCTTTTGTACCACTTTGGGCATCAATGGAAATATCAGTTTCTGATTAACTGACTACTAACCTCTGAAATGTTTCTTTTGTGCTGGACTCGAAAATGATCGGTATCACAGCTTTCGACTGTGGTGGCACAACTTGGGACAGAGGGCTGCTCTGTCTCAGCTCTAGACAGTCAATCTACATATCAGAAAGAAATCAGTTTACATTACTTCTTTATTTCAACTTATACTATTCTAATCAGTTGTTAATTAATAATTAATGCAAATAATTAATTAATTATTGCTTCATTCTGAAGAGGTTTAGATCATAATTGTACAAATTGTTTATACCCGTGGACCAGAAAAACATGAGAAACTATTTCATGGCTCACCTGACAGCTCACTATAATTACAATTTTACCTGTTGTGGATGAGCAAAGATGACATAATACTGACATTCAATTATGCCAAATTGTTGCTAACATTCGCTATGCGTGTGGTTACTTGCTATAGCATACACATAGTCTAAGTAACAGTGAAATTCTATAGCTACTAGAAGATTAGTCATATTTGGAGAGAAGGGGGTGGGGGCAGACACTGGGACATTTTCACAGACCACAGGCTGGCTGAACAACACTGGTTTAGATGCTAACATAATGGGACAAAGGGAATTGTCTGTATGGTAACAAAGTGGGACCAATGGAATTGTTTAGATGGTAACTTAATGGGAAAAGGGAATTGTTCAGATGGTAACATATTGGGACAAAGGGAATTGTTTGTATGGTAACATATTGGGACAAAGGGAATTGTTTAAATGGTCAACATAGTGGGACCAAAGGAATTCTTCAAGAAATTGTTTAGATAGTAACATAGTGGGACAAGGGGGAATTGTTTAGATGGTAACATAATGGGACAAAGAGAATTGTTTAAATGGTAACATATTGGGACAAAGGAAATTGTTCAGATAGTAACATAATGGGACAAAGGGAATTAAAGTACAAACTGTGAGGATGCAGAATATTAATAACACCCTGGCCAGTCACATGACAGAGCAGGCAGGATAATAATGACACACTGGCCAATAATATGAAGAGGAGGCAGAATATTAAAGGCACCCAGGCCAATCACATGACAGAGGAGGCATGGTATTAACTCTTTAAGGCCTGAGCAATGCTGTGTGTGTTGACTGAGAAGTTCTGATTTGCCCAAACAACACTGTCTGCATTGATCATGTGTCCAGTACACATTGATTCACATTCAGCTCAGTATTCGTTTCTAATGTTCAGAACTACCATTAAAGTATTCAGGAAAGGTTACTCTAACATTTTTCTTTGAATAAAACTAATTGTTCCCACACATGTGGGCACACATTTATCGGATTCATTGCTAGCGTCATTTTCAATGGTGTATTTTCTAAATTTTCAAGTGCTATGGATACCAATGTTTATCTACAAACATGATGACATACCTACTACTTGTCTACAAACATGATGAAACACCTACCACTTGTCTACAAACATGATGACACACCTACCACTTGTCTACAAACATGAAGACACACCTACCACTTGTCTACAAACATGATGACACACCTACCACTTGTCTACAAACATGACAACTGTCCTAACAAAAAACAACCAAGCAGTTGATGCATACCTCTGCCACTATGTGGATGAACTGTGATAGATTATTGATAATCTTCACTTCCTTCTGGCAAATGGATCTCACACATACCTGGCCAAAATCAATGACAGGTGGCCCTGAAATAAAATCAACCTCAGTTAGGGAATGGATTCTTCTTCTTCCTCTTAGAGTCCATGCCATGTGGTGTTGGTAGTCATGTCTATCCACAACCTTCTGTCTCATGTACTTTCAATCAACTCTGACACAGATGATCTTCCATGCCATGATGTCAAACTGTCCAGCATCTGTTCTCTCGGTCTCCCTCAGCCTCTCCTGCCCTCCAACCTTCCTTCTGTACTCCAGTTTTCTCCTTCTCATCACATGACCAAGAAGGAAGAATCCTTTCTTATGATTGATGAGTGCAATTCAGTCCTTCTTGAGCCAATTTTTTTCAAGGAGAGCACACAGTTTTCATTGCTCTTTTTTTCTGTCCAGGTATATCTCAATCATTCGATCTTCTCATCAGCCACTCTTCTTCAAAATAAGTTTTCACTAATTTACTAACTGTCTGTGATTCACGTCGGTATATCAATATAGGATTCATATAGCTTTTAAGGGAATGGAGTAACTCCCTTAAATTAAATTTTAAATCTCAGGGAATGGATTAACTCCCTAAAGTAAATAAACCCCCAGTTAAAGAAACCTTTGTGTGTTTTAACGAGTTTCTATGTTCTTGTCTGGAAAATTTTTTTTGGCCAGGTCATCACTTTCCAGCTTAGCAAGTGATTTAGCACTTGAAAGGAAGAAGCCCCCTCAGTTTAATTAAACAACGGATTCAGCAGTGTGCTGTAGATTGTGCCTGTTAGACTGTGGTTAGTGTAGAGAATCCAAACTTCACAAAGCAATGCAATCAATACTTATATTTTATTACAAGGTAAAATACAATTTTCAGCACCTTTTAGGCATTACATTTATTTACTACTGTCCATTTTTTTAAACAGACAAATCGGAACTTAACAGGTCATGGGGTCAATATCATATTAGCTGCATTTATTTCTCTGAACCTTTCTTGCTACCAATTTTAGACTGGGTCAACATGGGAAAGGGTATTTTTGTTTTCTTAATCTCATAGAACTGGGGATTTCAAGCATAAGACAGCTGGTAATGCCTGGACAACTGTGACTCCAATTATTACATTAACCGGTTGGAACAAAATAAGTTTCAGCATAACTCTCCATTAACTAGCAAGTAAATGATGCTAAAAACAGGCTAAATTCCCAATCACCTTACCAAAAATTTCCTAGATATAACTTCCTATATCACCTTAACAAGTCCCTACATAAAATTGCTCAGTTTGTCATCACCTTACCAACAGTTTGTCATCACCTTACCAGTAATTTGTCATCACCTTACCAACAGTGTGTCATCACCTTACCAACTTTTGTCATCACCTTACCAACAGTTTGTCATCACCTTACCAACAGTTTGTCATCACCTTACCAACAGTTTGTCATCACCTTACCAACAGTTTGTCATCACCTTACCAACAGTTTGTCATCACCTTACCAACAGTTTGTCATCACCTTACCAACAGTTTGTCATCCCCTTACCAACAGTTTGTCATCACCTTACCAACAGTTTGTCATCACCTTACCAACAGTTTGTCTTCACCTTACCAACGGTTTGTCATCACCTTACCAACAGTTTGTCATCCCCTTACCAATAGTTTGTCATCACCTTACCAACAATTTGTCATCACCTTACCAATAGTTTGTCATCACCTTACCAACAGTTTATCATCACCTTACCAACAGTTTATCATCACCTTACCAACAGTTTGTCATTACCTTACCAACAGTTTGTCATCACCTTACCAACAGTTTGTCATCACCTTACCAACAGTTTGTCATTACCTTACCAACAGTTTGTCATCACCTTACCAACAGTTTGTCATCACCTTACCAACAGTTTGTCATCACCTTACCAACAGTTTGTCATCACCTTACCTACAGTTTGTTATCACCTTACCAACAGTTTGTCATCACCTTACCAACAATAACTTGATACAGTTCCTGAGGGTTGAGCCATTTAGCACAATCGTTTTTTTCTGTCAGAGTTGTGGGAATTGCATGCAAGCCATCACAGATCTGGAATAAGACAAAACAGACACAAATCTGGGCAATCTTGGAAGCCTAAAGTTTTGAACTAGACAGTATCCTTATCTATCTCCTTCCTCCTTAACATTTCTCTATTGTTTGTTATTAATTCATGAGGGGAGGAGGGGGAGGGGGGGGGGGGAACTTGTTCACTCAGTATTCTTTACTGACATATAAAAATAGTTTACTTGTTAATTGTACTTTTTTTTTTTATTTTAGAAATAATACTGATTATACTTTCATAAAACATTTCATACTCACAAATTACTGTGTACGTTTTCAATAATTAAACTTAGAAAAAGTGTTGAAAATAGTTTGATATATCTCTCTCAGTATATCTTTACAACAACAAAAACAACAAGCTGACACAAAATTACCACCAAGCATCTCAAATCTACATAAATATAATGCCGTAAATAGACCTCCATTAAATTTATTATTTCCCTTCCCCCTTTTTTCTTTTGCTCTAGTTTACTATACAGCCTATACATAATATTTTGGTAACCCATATGCAAATTATTAAAGCAAATGTAAATTCAGCAGGTGCCAGCTTTTCAGGTTTGTGAAATAATTCTAACCATAAAATAAAATAAAACAAATGATCTAGAGAAGCAGGTAGGCACATCCTTGGTTTATAGAGAGAAAAATGAGTTCTTCAGCTCCACTGTCTCTGTCTTTACATCTCAGATGAAGCTGTGGACTTACTGGTTTTGAAATGACTTCTTTTTCAGACTGGGCAAGCTCTTTGGTACTGAGGATTTTCCACTCCATGTTGGGAGGTAAGTCTGCTGTTGCTGTGAACACACACACAAAGTCAGACAAATGTGGTTTGTACAAGTATTATTTCTTTATAATTTATTCAATAGATGTTTTTATGTCAAACTCCTATTCATTCAAACTGTCCACTATTGTTTGTCTAAAGCTGGCCACCACTGTATGACTCCAGATGTCCCATATTGTATGACTCAAGCTGTCCACTATTGTGTGTCTCAAGTTGGCCACCACTGAATGACTCCAGATGTCAGATATTGTATGACTCAAGATGTCCACTAATGTTTGACTCAAGTTATCCACTATTGTTTGACTCATGTTGGCCACCACTGTATGCCTCAAGTTGTCCTCTATTGTATGACTCCAGAGTCCACTATTGTATGACAAAAGCTGCCTACTAATGTATGACTCCAGTTGTCCTCTACTGTATAACAAGTTGTCCACCATTGTATGACTTTAGTCATCCCCTATTGTACAACTCAGCTTGTCCACTGTAGTATGACTCGAAGAATTTGAAGCTAGTAATGACTTGATTTAATCATTCCCAGAATTCCTATGAGCTCTACAATCAGGGATTACAAGACTTGGGTCCTGATTGTCAATTGCCATCTTAGACAATTACTGCAACCTTGGTGCTACAGAGTTCATACTCTATGTTGTGATTCTCCTTTGATCTATTGCAGGAGACAGGAGCAGTTTTTGTAGATTTCTGAGAACAACTGAGCAACCAAAAAACTAAACCAACCAAATATAATTCTTTTACTCAAAGAAAAAAAAAAGTCTGACTCTTAAAACAACCATCCTTGTCTATCAGCATTCTTCTGTGGGGTGGTGAAACTTTGGCCACTTACTTATACCAGGAGAAACAGCTAAACAGCTTTCCCATGTGATCCTTTTGAAGAATACTTGGCACCAGAAGCTAGGACAAGATCACAAACACTTAGATGGTAGGACAAGATCACAAACACTCAGATGGTAGGACAAGATCACAAACACTCAGATGGTAGGACAAGATCACAAACACTCAGATGGTAGGACAAGATCACAAACACTCAGAAGCTAGGACAAGATCACAAACACTCAGATGGTAGGACAAGATCACAAACACTCAGAAGCTAGGACAAGATCACAAACACTCAGATGGTAGGACAAGATCACAAACACTCAGAAGCTAGGACAAGATCACAAACACTCAGATGGTAGGGCAAGATCACAAACACTCAGAAGCTAGGACAAGATCACAAACATTCAGATGGTAGGACAAGATCACAAGCACTCAGATGGTAGGACAAGATCACAAACACTCAGATGGTAGGACAAGATCACAAACACTCAGAAGCTAGGACAAGATCACAAACACTCAGATGGTAGGACAAGATCACAAACACTCAGAAGCTAGGACAAGATCACAAACACTCAGATGGTAGGACAAGATCACAAACACTCAGAAGCTAGGACAAGATCACAAACATTCAGATGGTAGGACAAGATCACAAACACTCAGATGGTAGGACAAGATCACAAACACTCAGATGGTAGGACAAGATCACAAACACTCAGATGGTAGGACAAGATCACAAACACTCAGATGGTAGGACAAGATCACAAACACTTGGATATTGACAAGAACAGGTATTAACAAATTTTTTGCAAAGGCTGACATTCCTAGGACACACAGAATGGAGTGTGGTAGATTTCCTAAGGACATTTTCTAGGTAGAGTTACAGTTGTTTTGGGAAATCTTGGGAGTCGCCCACTCAGACACATATAAATCAGTGAGCAAAAAGAATACAAATGATGCGGGTATTCAATGGACTCATCACAAAGTGTTGCCATGGATTGTATTTTATGAGTGAGAAGAGCATGAGGAGAGAATAAGGTGAAAATGATTGCAGATACACTAAGAGCTGAGTTTTTTAAGGGGGAAAAAAACAAATATAATAATGAAATAATGTAATAATGGTGCTGAAATCCCATTTAATGTGTAATAATTTTTTTTTTTACACGAGCTGGTCTCACCATCGCTATGGGATGTAAGTCCCTAGCCACCCTTATAGCACTGTGTAATACCCTTGCCTGGACAGGCAAAAAGGGGCCAATGACAATCCTTTCCTCATTTTCTGCACTCTCAATCAATTAGACACATTCTTTCTTTTGTTTTGTTATATTAACCACACTTTTAGAAAGCATACTGACATGAAAAGTATGAATGGCAACAAGTAAATGATCTGAGATAGTGAGTAACTTATATAAACATCTGATATCTTACAACGTATATCTGGCAAGATTTCAGCCTGGGTAAGCTTTTTTGGGAGAATGCCTGCTGCAGACTTGATTCCAATATCTATACTGTTATTGGTCTTCTTGAACTCTCTACAAGAGTGAGGAAACAATAAACACCATTCAGTGATTTATTAACTGTGGATTAAGTAAGGGTAAAATAATAAGTCTCTGGCATTGGAAGTTGAAAAAATTATTTTTGCGCATGAATAAAACCCCTCACAGTAAAGAACAGTTAGTGAACAAGAAAAAACATTCAATGAAATCCCAAGACTATTTTATAGAAAAATGTTTTTGCCATCTTGATCAGTAACCTCAATATTTTATTAGGATAAGAGAGACAATTTATCGCAAACATCAGAAAGAGAAGCAACCATTCACTGCTGCATTTTGTAATGACTACAAACATGAAAACAAAAGATACAGAAGAAAACAGTTACCGAAGATTTTTGACAACTTTTCAAAATGGCAAGGAGCAAATAGAACATGAATTGAACCAGTCTATTAGAGATTAGAAGGTGTGCAAAAGTGTGCCAGTTCATTCCAGTGGGCAGAGAGACAGAGATATTAGGAAGTGCTCAAAAGTATGCCAGTTCATTCAGTTGGCAGAGAGATAGAGAGATTAAGATGTGCTCAAAAGTGTGCCAGTTCATTCCAATATGCAGAGAGATAGAGAGATTAGGAAGTGCTCAAAAGTGTGCCAGTTCATTCCAGTGGGCAGAGAGACAGAGAGATTAGGAAGTGCACAAAAGTATGCCAGTTCATTCAGTTGGCAGAGAGATAGAGAGATTAAGATGTGCTCAAAAGTGTGCCAGTTCATTCCAATATGCAGAGAGATAGAGAGATTAGGAAGTGCTCAAAAGTATGCCAGTTCATTCCAGTGGGCAGAGAGACAGAGAGATTAGGAAGTGCTCAAAAGTGTGCCAGTTCATTCAGTTGGCAGAGAGATAGAGAGATTAAGATGTGCTCAAAAGTGTGCCAGTTCATTCCAATATGCAGAGAGATAGAGAGATTAGGAAGTGCTCAAAAGTGTGCCAGTTCATTCCAGTGGGCAGAGAGATAGAGAGATTAGGAAGTGCGCAAAAGTGTGCCAAATCATTCCAGTGGGCAGAGAGACAGAGAGATTAGGACGTGCTCAAAAGTCTGCCAGTTCATTCAGTTGGCAGAGAGATAGAGAGATTAGGACGTGTGCAAAAGTGTGCCAGTTCATTTCAGTGGGCAGAGAGATAGAGAGATTAAGACGTGCTCAAAAGTGTGTCAGTTCAGTTCTGTGGGCAGAGAGATAGAGAGATTAGGACGTGCTCAACAATGTGCCAGTTCATTCCAGTGGGCAGAGAGATAGAGAGATTAGGACGTTCTCAAAAGTGTGCCAGTTCATTCCAGTGGGCAGAAAGATAGAGAGATTAGGACGTGTGCAAAAGTGTGCCAGTTCATTCCAGTGGGCAGTGTACTTGATAAAGAATTTAAATAAAAAATTTGTTAGTATGCATTTTTTGTTTCTCAAATTTGCTTTTCATATTCTGAGTTCCTTAATTTGATCTCTGACCTCAAATTAGGACTATTTCATAACTAAATAACAGTAACAATTATAATCATTGTCTATTTCACACAGCTTCAAGACTGCAAATTTAGACTGTGGCAATAAAACAATCATGTTAATCTCAAAGTCTTTAAGTGGAAATAAAAGAAACATGTTAATCTCAAAGTCTTGAAGACAGCAGCAAAGTTAATTTTTACAACTAGAATCATTATCATAATTCTGCTCTTTACAGACCGTTATTTACCTAATCCCTTCCCAGTAGGCATTATCATACCTAGGGTGTCTGTAAGAAGAAGGAAAAGATGTATGTAATGTTCAGTAGTCACCTACATGTTGCCTGACTCTTTTCCTAGGAACCAAACAGTCCACTTCTCTTTTGTCTAAACCAGTGGTTCTCAACATGTCAGTCGCTACTCTTTTTTTTGGGTCGAACGACTCTTTATTAGGGGCTGCCTAAGACCACTGGAAAACACATATTCATTAAAGTTATGAAGGAAAATAATTGTTGGGGGGTTGCCACAACATGAGAGAACTGTATTAAAGGGTCATAGCATTAGGAAGGTTGAGAGCCACTGGTCTAAACCATGGTAGCATTTACCATGATAGCATTCACCACAGTAGCATTTACCAAGTCCAAAGTACTTTAGTTTCCAAAGCAAGATGTTGTTTATGAGCCAATGTTCTTCAATGATCAGATACTTTCCTATGTGATCCAGGTATTCTGCCCATTTTCTGTAATAATTATGCTCAAGCGCCCTGATTATTTGAACAACTGCTAAATGTTTCAGAACTTTCATAAAAATCAGGAGTCAAAATCAAGACACAATAAAACAGAAGACATCTGACACAGGATTTCTAAATATTTAAGGACTCAAAAACAAAGCAAACAAACAAAAAATAAATATACTTCGACTGTCTCTGTTCCCATCGTCTCTCCCTACTCTGGTGTATGAGCTGCAGATATCCTGATCGGTGCTTTAGCCTCTTTTCCATTTCCAGATCATCAAAAGCGTAATCAGGGTCGACATAGTGGTACCGTTCAGAATGGGTGAATAGTGACCTGCAAACAATTAAGAATCAGTGTTTTTACTCCATCGCTCATCAAAACCAATGAGAAAAGACAAACAAAATGTCTGAAGTCTATACAGTAGCAAAACATCCAGCGGAGATCAAATACAGAAATTAGGTTAATGTGGGCAGACACTTGGTATGCTAAGAGAGGTTGAGACAATTTGTTTAAAAAGATGGATGTGGAAAGTTTGAACAGCTAGGCAACAACAAAATCAAAAATGCCATCTACATTAAAACATCATAAAAGATTGTAGAGTCATCATTGCCAATCTCTGCTTCATATCAGGTGCTTGAAAAGCAGCGACTTAAAATTTTAACTCTTTGAGTCCCAAGGAACGCATCATACATTCATAGGTTTCTTCACAGAAGCCCAATTAATGAATGATGCGCCGATTTATTGTCTCTCTTTACTACCCCTTGGGTCTGCGATGTTAAACCCTTTGGGACTCAAAGAGTTAAGTTACTGGTATTATTATTTTAAATTACTGGTATTATTATTTCAAATTACTAGCATTATTATTTCAAATTACTGGCATTATTATTTCAAATTACTAGCATTATTATTTCAAATTACTAGCATTATTAGTTTAAATTACTGGCATTATTATTTTAAATTACTGGCATAATTATTTTAAATTACTGGTATTATTATTTTAAATTACTGGCATAAATTACTGGTATTATTATTTTAAATTACTGGCATAATTATTTTAAATTACTGGTATTATTATTTTAAATTACTGGCATAATTATTTTAAATTACTGGTATTATTATTTTTAAATTACTGGCATAATTATTTTAAATTACTGGTATTATTATTTTTAAATTACTGGCATAATTATTTTAAATCACTGGTATTATTATTTTTAAATTACTGGCATAATTATTTTAAATCACTGGTATTATTATTTTTAAATTACTGGCATAATTATTTTAAATTACTGGTATTATTATTTTAAATTACTGGCATAATTATTTTAAATTACTGGTATTATTATTTTAACTTACTGGTATTATTATTTTAACTCACTGGTATTACTATTTTTACTTACTGGTCTATCCCTTTTTGGAAAAATTTGCAAATGAATATTTTAACTTACTTGTATCTTTCCTTTGGGTTGCTTGGACGCACGCTGCAGGCCCGGTCATTGGGGAATGCCACTTTGACATGATTGTCATACTCTAAAAAGTTGCTGATCTTTTCAAACTCTTCAGCAGATGAAGTTTTGTTTTGGTGGAACCTGCCAAGGCGTTTCTAAGGTTGACATCTTTGAGATCCTTAAATGCTGTATCCACAAACATCCCAACTTCGTTTGTGATATATGGTGTGATACCTGTTATAAAGGCAGAAAGAGATGACGTTAGTAACAGTTGTGAGGAAATATGGGTGATTTCTGATACTGATTTCTGATACTGATGACTGCTCAGATGAATGTTTTGTTTTTATTAAACTTGTACCAAACACTGACCATATGTGACTTATGTGTTACTGCCAATGTTTTATGTATGGAGAAATTGGTACTAAATCATGGACCATGTGTGATTGGGTGTTACTTATGTGTAAGTTTCAATGTTTTATGTATGGAAAAAATTGGTACTAAATCACGGACCATGTGTGATTGGGTGTTACTTATGTCTAAGAGTCAATGTTTTATGTATGGAGAAATTGGTACTAAATCACGGACCATGTGTGACTGGGTGTTACTTATGTGTAAGTTTCAATGTTTTATGTATGGAGAAATTGGTACTAAATCACGGACCATGTGTGATTGGGTGTTACTTATGTCTAAGAGTCAATGTTTTATGTATGGAGAAATTGGTACTAAATCACGGACCATGTGTGATTGGGTGTTACTTATGTCTAAGAGTCAATGTTTTATGTATGGAGAAATTGGTACTAAATCACGGACCATGTGTGATTGGATGTTACTTATGTCTAAGAGTCAATGTTTTATGTATGGAGAAATTGGTACTAAATCACGGACCATGTGTGATTGGGTGTTACTTATGTGTAAGTTTCAATGTGTTATGTATAGAAAAGTTTGGTGCTAAATCACGGACCATGTGTGACTGGGTGTTACTTATGGGAAAATGTTAATATTTTATGTACAGATAAATTTGGTACTAAATCATAGACCATGTGTGACTGGGTGTTACTTATGTCTAAGTGTCAATGTTTTATGTATGGAGAAATTGGTACTAAATCATAGACCATGTGTGACTGGGTGTTACTTATGTGTAAGTTTCAATGTTTTATGTATGGAGAAATTGGTACTAAATCACGGACCATGTGTGACTGGGTGTTACTTATGGGAAAATGTCAATATTTTATGTACGGATAAATTTGGTACTAAATCATAGACCATGTGTGATTGGGTGTTACTTATGTCTAAGTGTCAATGTTTTATGTATGGAAAAATTGGTACTAAATCATAGACCATGTTTGACTGGGTGTTACTTATGTGTAAGTGTCAATGTTTTATGTATGGAGAAATTAGTACTAATATCCCACAAACCTGGGTTGAATTTTGCCTTTGGAACTGTAGTAATGGGGTGACTGCATCCTGACAATTTCATTGGTAGACTGTAGATGACTTGAGTCATTGAGATTAATGGGTTCATCCTGTCAGTTATTTGACCAAGAACATCTAAAAACTGTTCTGGTTTGAAAGTGCCTGTCAAAATATGAAACAAAACACAGATACTGAAAGGCCATTTTACATGTAGTGAACTGTTGCTACTGTCTGTATTTACCACTTTTCATAGCGGTGTGTATACAAGTGGGGTAATTCGGGAGGTAAGGACAAGATGCTGGTGCTGGATATGTCCCACACTAAGTAAACCTGTCATAAGTTCTTCCTCTAGAACCACAAGGTTAAGAAAATGGAGAAAGATCTAACAGCAGATCACAAAAGGAATGAGAGATGAGGATGTACAGTATATGAAGTCATGGGGTAAGTGGCAGAAGAATGCACAAAGAAAAGGATGTCATGCCAGATGTTTGTGGAGGGCCCATGATTCACTGAAGGATACACAGAGAAGAAGAAGAGAGTGCTTCTAAGTACAGGAAAGCATGAAGATGCTACCATGGTCTTCACTTGAAAACTTCCAGCTGCACCATCTGGTAGTACAGGACAGGCACAAGTGTGAAGCTGGCGTGGTTCAGGGGACCAGGTATCCGCACTGCAATGTGAAGATAACCCTGAGTCTGAAAATTACTGGTCTGCTCATTTCTGCCAAGCTTTCTTGCTCTGGTCTGTGATCTTCATTGTGCTCTGCCCACTTTACCTTTATCAACTGTTTCATGAATATTTCAACAATCTACTTTTTCCAAAGAACATACCTGTAGAGTTATCATGGCCTCACAATTCCCTTTATGTATATTTGTATTTCAATGACTCCAGAACTCAAGTTTCATAAAGCTAAGTAGTTTTTTGTGTGTGGTAATTATTACAAATGTTAATGTATTGGTGTCATTTGGTTTTTTTTATAAGCTGATAAAGGTTTTCTAACTGCAACATCCAATCTTTCAACAGTGATTTTTTTTTGGGGGGGGGGGGGGGGAGGGGGGGGGGGGGGGGGGGGGGGATTAAAATTGACCTGCATCATGTTTGTTAACTGTTCCAAAATTTTTGTTCATGCTAAGACATTACTTTGTTGATAATTCAGTACAATATAACTGCAGTATGACGGACTAGCAAAAATAAATAATTATCCTGTACCTCAGAACACAGTCAGTTACACATTTTCATATTAACACAATTTAAAATAAGAATGCCAGCCATTTGAACATGTAGATTGGTGCACCAGACAGCAGAACACATACTCCTAGACTGTTCCAGATATGATACATTATGGGCAATACATTTGGCGTAGAAAAACAGCAAGGGAAATTAAACTCCATGTGTCAATAAGCTAACTAAACAACAACAAAAGTTAACTTTAAACAAAAGTCAAAAGTGTGAATTTGATCATTTATTCTCAGCAAGCGAAGAAAGAAGAAAAATGATTTGATTTGTAAAACTTTTGTAAAATAATTAGTTTGAAAAACAAAAGGTTTGTGATCATTTTGAAAACTTACCAATTTGTTTCGGTGCAAAAGAGAATATAACATCCTGGGTCTGCCCTGGTAAAATTTTGCCACAGGAAGGGTAGGCATTGAAGTGAGCGATGCGCCTAAACTCAAACAGGATAGGAAGAATATTTGATTCATTCTTGACTGTACACAGGATGTCAGCATGTTGCCCAACTGGACATTCACCAAAATCCAACTTTGTCGAAGGTGCAATGTTCATCAACACAGGAAGTGCAGTGCCTGTGAGCGCAACCTCAACATACATGCCTGAAATTGTATAGATATTTGCATGAATTTCAATAGTAAAATGTTCCTAAATATTTTAGCCATACACATAGACCTCATGACGGAACATATGTACTAATGAGATAAGGCATTAAAGTCAATGGCATCCAGTACATTTCACATTTACAGAAATCATCATGTAGCAAATATTTCAGCTTCCGAGACAAGTTGCTGCTGTTTATTAGCCAATCTGTTTAGCATGTCCGTGTTTTCTTCTTCTTTCTCCATGGTATTCTAATAAACTTCCTATAGCAATTCAGCTCAAAAGCCCATATTTTCTTTCTTAAGGATGATGGATAATCTACGACTCACATCCGTTTCAGGGAAGATGGGAGATTATCTATGACACATCCATTTTATGAAAGATGGAAGATAGTCCATGACTCACATCCGTTTCATGGAAGATAGGAGATAGTCCACGACTCAGTCCAGAACACATCCGTTTCAGGAGATAGTCCAGGACTCACACACCTTTCAAGGAAGATGCATGCTCCCAAAATTTTCAATTATATTTTCTTGCTGGTGCTCAACATAGACTTTTAATGCTGTTTAATCTTTGCAATGCTATAGCCACTATCCTTGTGACGTCTGTTGAACAGTCTAATTGCTGTTTATTATGGAGTCTATATATTCAAAGCTTGTGACATTTTAAATTTGTTCATCATTTTTGGCTCTAATTTTGGGTGGCAGGCAGTTGTGTCTGTGGACATTATTTTTGTTTCCTTTAAATTTAAGTACATGTCTACTGAAATAGATTTATATTTTTAGTTGTCTAATTGACTGAATGGGCCAGAATATTTGTGTGTACAAACAACGAATATATGCCTCAGGTGTTTACATGTCCACGGATTGCAGCCACTGACTCCGTGACTGCATGTGCCAGAAAATCTTTCTGAATAAACAACATATTCTCGGTTGTTTACATTTCTACAGTGGTGACGCAGACCTTTGAGGTACATAAGAGTGATCTGCTCTTGCTGATCAAGGTTGTGTTGGTTGTTACCAAGTTATCTTATTGTTTACACTTGATGCATTCAGGGAGTGTCTTAGTAACTTGTAGTTACGTCCTAGTAACTTGTAGTTACCCTCACTGACTTCATAAATCAACATCACCACATCGTCACTATCCAACATATCTCCACTTTTGTTGCTCCATGATATCAGTACTACACCACAGTGACCCAATGAACCACATTTTGGATGCTAAGTCAGCGAGTACAGACCCAGGATACTCCCCTGAACTTTTAAAACGTTTAGGTTCAAGGACTCTAGGGCAAGTAAGAGGTATCTTACTTCTTCAGTTCAACACATCTGTTAGCAATTGTAAAACATTGCCTATTTACCTTCAGAAATTCTCGTCTTGCCACTGTGTATCTCAGCCTCATGACTGTCCACATAGCCACTGCTAGACCCAACCACCTGCAGCTTCACAAAAAGTGCAAAATCTTTCCGAGGAGGTGGGCATGTCTGGGTCTTCCAGCCTTGCTTTGAGCTGTACCATCTATAATGTGCACAAAATGTGTTTATCCACCAGGGTTACAAGTGCGATATCAAACTGTGATTTTTGTATATTAAGTGACATGTTGACAATTTGTAAGTACTATATAGAACCTGTGATTCTGTATGTTAAGTGAAATGTGGACAATATGTAAGTGCTATATAGAACCTGTGACTCTGTATGTTAAGTGAAATGTGGACAATATGTAAGTGCTATATAGAACCTGTGACTCTGTATGTTAAGTGAAATGTGGACAATATGTAAGTGCTATATAGAACCTGTGATTCTCTATGTTAAGTGAAATGTGGACAATATGTAAGTGCTATATAGAACCTGTGACTCTGTATGTTAAGTGAAATGTGGACAATATGTAAGTGCTATATAGAACCTGTGATTGTGTATGTTAAGTGAAATGTGGACAATATGTAAGTGCTATATAGAACCTGTGATTCTGTATGTTAAGCGAAATGTGGACAACATGTAAGTGCTATATAGAACCTGTGACTCTGTATGTTAAGTGAAATGTGGACAATATGTAAGTGCTATATAGAACCTGTGACTCTGTATGTTAAGTGAAATGTGGACAATATGTAAGTGCTATATAGAACCTGTGATTCTGTATGTTAAGTGAAATTTGGACAATATGTAAGTGCTATATAGAACCTGTGATTGTGTATGTTAAGTGAAATGTTGACAATATGTAAGTGCTATAAAAAAACTGGGACGCTGTATGTGTAGTGAAATGTGGACAATATGTAAGTGCTATATAGAACATGTGATTGTGTATGTTAAGTGAAATGTTGACAATATGTAAGTGCTATAAAGAACCTGGGATTTTGTATGTTAAGTGAAATGTGGACAATATGCAAGTGCTATATAGAACCTGTGATTGTGTATTTTAAGTGAAATATGGTCAATATGTAAGTGCTAAAGGAAACTGTGATTCTGTAAATTATGTGAAATGTGGACAATAAGCAGATAAAGTAAGAGGTATCTGATGGCAGCGGAAATAGGCTTACTGGTAAAAATGCAAAGATTACCATCAATAGAGGGAAAAATAAATTAGGAAGAAATTTGGAGAATAACTGATACATTAACAAATAAATTACAAACATTCATTAACAGGTGCCTAAACATGCTAGAATGTATTAAACAAAAGGACAGAATTACTCATTTATAGCTCAACTATAGCAACTCCAGTGAAACAAAGAGGTGAAGGAAACATGCTAGTGCTCTTAGGTCACACACTGTGAATATCTGATAACAGTATAACCAGAATATCCAGGCAATGGAGCACACAGGGCCAAAGAAAACAGGGGACTAAAATAACACATGAAGGGGGATGGGGAGGGAGATTAGTCACAGGCAGAGAGGACAAGATGTGAGCTGCATGAGGTGGTGAAGCTCCACTGGGTGATATAGGGAGGAGAGCAAAGATGAGGTGCTCTCACACACACACACACATATGCAAGCAAGTGCACACGCACGCACGTACACACACGCACACGCACGCGCACACACGCACGCATGCACGCACGCACGCACACACGCACGCACACACTCTCTCTCTCTCTCTCTCTCTCTCTCTCTCTCTCTCTCTAAAGCAGAAAATGCAGGAGGGAAATATAAGGCAGAAGAGAGAAGAAGGAGGAGAAAAAGAAATTGTAAAACATATTTTCTATTTCTCACCAGCTTTTCTTTCCCAAACTTAAAGTCAGGTGAACATAAGGAATGTGTGAGTGAACTACATCAAACAACCATAATGGGACAATGATAATCTAACCTTGGGCTAAATCTAAAATATACTGGAGTCTTCTGGTGAGGGATAAGAATGCCCTGGTTAGGAATGACTGTTATCAAAGATGTTACTTCATTGATGTGTCCCTGTTTTTCATCTTCGCCTTCATCTGCCAGTGCTGCTGATACTGTCTTGGTCAAATCTACTCCCTGCAAAAACAGTTCATTTAACATTGAAGAGCTTCCCAAGAACCAGCACTCTGACTTCTTAACCACTACTATAACTGTAATAAAATATTTATCATAAATGACTCAGTTTAACCTAACAAAATATTCCTTTTTTTGTCTGCTAACATTTATCTCTCACCAACCAGCTAATGTTAGGCCTTTTGTTGACTGGCTCATGACTGATAGGGAATTGCAAGTAAAGTTTTTGACATGGTGGGGCAGTCCCTCATGGTGTACAATAGTAGGGCAGTCCCTCGTGGTGTACAATAGTAGGGCAGTCCCTCATGGTGTACAATAGTGGGACAGTCCCTCATGGTGTACAATGGTGGGGCAGTCCCTCATGGTGTACTATAATGGGACAGTCCCTCGTGGTGTACATAGTGGGTCAGTCCTTCATAGTGATACAGTCCCTCATGGTGTACAATAATGGGGCAGTCCCTCGTGGTTTACAATGGTGGGGCAGTCCCTCATGGTGAACAATGGTGATGCAGTCCCTTATGGTGATGCAGTCTCTCATGGTGTACAATGGTGGGGCAGTCCCTCATGGTGTACAATGGTGGGGCAGTCCCTTATGGTGTACAATGGTGGGGCAGTCCCTCATGGTGTACCGTGGGGGGGGGGGGGGCAGTCTCTCATGGTGTACAATGGTGGGGTAGTCCCTCATGGTGTACAATGGGGGGTTGGGGCAGTCTCTCATGGTGTACAATGGTGGTGCAGTCCCTCATGGTGTACAATGGTGGGGCAGTCCCTCGTGGTGTACAATGGTGGGGCAGTCCCTCATGGTGTACAATGGTGGGGCAGTCCCTCATGGTGTAAAATGGTGGGGCAGACTCTCATGGTGTACAATGGTGGGGTAGTCTTTTATGGTGTAAAATAGTGGTGCAGTCTCTCATGGTGTACAATGGTGGGGCAGTCCCTCATGGTGGGGCAGTCCCTCATGATTTGTACACATCTAGTATGTCCTCTGTTGACTGCCCCTGTGGTTGGTTGATTTGTAACACATCTAGTATGTCCTCTGTTGTAAGCAGTACAAGTTACTCACCATCTCCTGGGTGATGGCATCATCATGTCTGACAGGTAAGCAGTACAAGTTACTCACCATCTCCTGGGTGATGGCATCATCATGTCTGACAGGTAAGCAGTACAAGTTACTCACCATCTCCTGGGTGATGGCATCATCATGTCTGAGAGGTAAGCAGTGTAAGTTACTCACCATCTCCTGGGTGATGGCATCATCATGTCTGAGAGGTAAGCAGTACAAGTTACTCACCATCTCCTGGGTGATGGCATCAACATGTCTGAGAGGTAAGCAGTACAAGTTACTCAACATCTCCTGGGAAATGGCTCTGTCATGTCTGAGAGGTAAGCAGTACAAGTTACTCACCATCTCCTGGGCAATGGCTCTGTCATGTCTGAGAGGTAAGCAGTACAAGTTACTCACCATCTCCTGGGCAATGGCTCTGTCATGTCTGAGAGGTAAGCAGTACAAGTTACTCACCATCTCCTGGGCAATGGCTCTGTCATGTCTGAGAGGTAAGCAGTACAAGTTACTCACCATCTCCTGGGCAATGGCATCGTCATATCTGAGAGGTAAGCAGTACAAGTTACTCACCATCTCCTGGGCAATGGCTCTGTCATGTCTGAGAGGTAAGCAGTACCAGTTACTCACCATCTCCTGGGCAATAGCTCTGTCATGTCTGAGAGGTAAGCAGTACCAGTTACTCACCATCTCCTGGGTGATGGCATCATCATGTCTGAGAGGTAAGCAGTACAAGTTACTCACCATCTCCTGGGCAATGGCTCTGTCATGTCTGAGAGGTAAGCAGTATAAGTTACTCACCATCTCCTGGGTGATGGCATCATCATGTCTGAGAGGTGAGCAGTACAAGTTACTCACCATCTCCTGGGCAATGGCTCTGTCATGTCTGAGAGGTAAGCAGTACAAGTTGCTCACCATCTCCTGGGTGATGGCATCATCATGTCTGAGAGGTAAGCAGTACAAGTTACTCAACATCTCCTGGGCAATGGCTCTGTCATGTCTGAGAGGTAAGCAGTACAAGTTACTCACCATCTCCTGGGCAATGGCATCGTCATGTCTGAGAGGTAAGCAGTACAAGTTACTCACCATCTCCTGGGCCATGGCTCTGTCATGTCTGAGAGGTAAGCAGTACCAGTTACTCACCATCTCCTGGGCAATAGCAACGTCATGTCTGAGAGGTAAGCAGTACAAGTTACTCACCATCTCCTAGGCAATGGCAACGTCATGTCTGAGAGGTAAGCAGTACAAGTTACTCACCATCTCCTGGGCGATGGCATTCTCATCAATAACTGCTACAAAATTGATTGGCTCTGGACTGTTGTTGTACAAGACAGCACACTCCAGTTTGTCTGTGCCGTAGTAAGTACTGCCAAATCTGACACACTCCACCCGGCTGTTGTCTCCGGATGTTGACAGAAGCTCTAGGCTTCTCTCAATCACCGAACCTTTGATGAGGAGTGTTGTGACCGCTTGACCTTCCAGATAAACCCTTCACGTTGACAAGAAAAATAAAGGAGAAACACTGATCTTTTTGTCAACATATGAACAGAGAAATGTTGTGTGTGCTACTACATTTTCTATACTGCATGGCAAAAGGGGAGTTAAATGTAGTTGTCCTGTCTTCTGCTAGTTTTGTAGCATATGTTTATGTTATGAACATGTGGTTTTTAAATCAAATGTTTTGAATACCCTAGAGTGTCATATTTATACAGCTAGAACATTATCAGATTTTAAAAAAATGAAAATGATCTGCTTCCATACTTTAAGATGTGATTGGTATATGATGACAGCCAGTGACATTTTTGACCAATTACACTTAAAGACTGAAGTTGCAAATATTCCTCTGGCCACCTGTACTTCCCCTCACATATCTTGGTACCCAAATGTAGACTGGGTTAACCTGAGAGACCAGGTCCTTATTACAAAATTTGACATGACAGGGATTCGAGTCTATACCACTGGATCAGTAGGCAAGCTTGTTGGCCACTACGCAGCCACGACTCCCAGGTTTTAAACACACACACAAATATAACAAAGTATATCCTGACTTACTCTGCCACTTCTTGAAACTGTCCTTCAACTGAAGCCACACACTCAACCTAGGAACCAAGCAAACATAGAGTCTAAGCTATTTTGAGGCATCCAAACCTTTCAGCTAATAATTTTTTTTTTTCTTTTTTTTTCAAAATATAGTGCTTTTTTTAATTTAGAACTCACTGATCACATATATAATTTCAAAGCATTGTTCTTTTTCAACATAACAAAGCAAAGTACGTAAAGAGAAATTTCAACAAACAAAATGTCATAAACTGAACTTACTCTAAGGAAAATGACGTACATTTCATATAACAAGCATAAAACAAATGACTATGTTAAAGACAAAGACAATACACATGCAGGTCACAACAAATTCAGCTTTGTTAGTGGTGAAAGGTCACAAGATTGCTTAGTTCAGAAAACTCACAAGATACAACACCCCCTCAACAGCCATCTTCCAGAGCATAGCTGAGGGCAGACAAGGAATAGAAAAGGGGGCGGGGAGGGGGGGGGGGGGGGGGGGAGGGGAATGTTGCAGGTCCATTGACATTAAAATGAGGGCAGGAGTAATATTTACACATTGATGATGAATACCCGCAGAACCTTTGGGTCCGTGTTTACACAGACGGGTCAGCAGAAACGGAGGTGCCGGAGTGTACATTGAGTATCCTAATAATACCAGGGATACAGCCAAATTACCAACGGGAAAGCACTGTCACAACTATGATGCAGAAGTTCAAGCCATCAAGATAGCGGCAGAGAAACTACTAAATACAGGGTATTTTTCACAACCAGTGGTATTCCTGACAGATGCAAAAGCAGTACTTCAGTCACTCCAGTCTGGAAAATTACCAAGCATACGGACACTATTATCCGAACTAGGCAACCGCTGTAAATTAGTAATGCAGTGGATACCTTCCCACTGTGGAGTTCCCGGAAACGAAAAAGCTGATAAACTAGCTAAGGAAGGCGCAACTGAAGAACAACCTAACATACCAGTCTCTTATCAACAGAAGAAGAGAATGATCAAATCAATCAGAATGCCACCGAAACTGGCACAAGATGATTACCATATTATGGACAGACCAGAGCAAGTCATTATCCTTCGCCTTAGAACAGGGCACAATCGACTTCGCTCCCACATGTACAACAAATTTAAGATTGGCCAATCAGCCATGTGTACTTGTGGACTGGCACCTGAAACAACAGATCACATCCTTCAAGACTGTCCCAGATTCAACGCTTTCAGGCAAAACCTTTGGCCAAAAGAGACACTTGTGGAAGTCAAACTTTACGGGCCGCTTAGTGAATTACAAAAGACAGTGAAATTCATACTAGAGACAGCTTTGCAGATATAGACAATTTATTTCATGCGAACGAAAGAAGAAGAAGAAATATTTACACACTTGTACAACATTTTTTGAGGACAGAGAGAGAACTGGTAGGTGGGTTGACAGAATGACAAACCCATCAAGATCAGAAAGAGAACTGTTGGGTGGGTTGACAGAATTACAAACCCATCAAGATCGGGGAGAGAACTGTTGGGTGGGTTGACAGAATGACAAACCCATCAAGATCAGAGAGAGAACTGTTGGGTGGGTTGACAGAATGACAAACCCATCAAGATCAGAAAGAGAACTGGTAGGTGGGTTGACAGAATGACAACCCCATCAAGATCAGAGAGAGAACTGTTGGGTGGGTTGACAGAATGACAAACACATCCAGATCAGAGAGCGAACTGTTGGGTGGTTTGACAGAATTACAAACCCATCAAGATCGGGGAGAGAATTGTTGGGTGGATTGACAGAATTACAAACCCATCAAGATCAGAGAGAGAACTGTTGGGTGGGTTGACAGAAATACAAACCCATCAAAATCAGAGACTAAACCATTGGGTGGGTTGACA